TGAGAGAATGTTTTATAGATTTCTTCTTGCTAGTCATAGAAGAAACTGTAGGCAGAAAGGCACCAGAAATGACAAGATGTTTCTCTGGCTGTTGTAGATTGACTAGTTACCAGATGACAGGCTCTTAAGTATAGATTAAGTACTTGATATTGTTAGTGGTATTAATCCAAATACCTTTACAATTTTGAGTCTGTAAGAGCTGGTGAATAGAGCAGATATGCAGGTCTAAAGAATTCCAGCATATTTTCCCGGTTGTTCAAGTGATTTAATACATCATTTCCTTAAATTACTTTGAAGTTTGAGAAGTCTCCAGGCAATGGAAACCATTCTTGTTCAGTCTAAATCAGTTAAGCCATACTCTTTCCTGTAATCAAAGAATTGGAGAAAATAAGCTAGAAGATACCTGGAGAGGTTATCTTGTCCATCCAGGGCCAGGTCATTAAGCTCAAAGTGATGCTGGCACACATTCATCTAGATTCTTGTAACCTTATCTTGGAAAGAAAGAAAGAGAACAGAAATACAAATATGGTAAAAGGGCTATAAAAGTATGACCGATTTGATATGAATTCAGGCTAAGTCCCATTATTCAGATACCAGTGTGGCTGAGCTGAAAATCAAGAAGGGAATTGTGTGACAAGATGAATGCAGATGAAAATGAAGAGATCAGTTGAGTATAAACAGATTAATGTGCATAGCACTGCAGCAGGAAGCAGTGAGAATCTGAGGATTGTAAATGCAAAGGGAAAATGCAGATTGTCTTCCTGTGGATTTGGGAACCAGAAAAAATTAAATGATGAACTGAAAGTTATAGAAAAATATATTCAAGAGAACTTCTGGCTATGCAAGGCAGCTGGTAGCTGAATATTAAATTCAAGCATGAATCATCCTGCAGATTCCTCACTTGCATAATGAATAACTCAGAAAAGCAGAAATTTCACAGAAACCAGTCCTTGCTTTCGTGCTTACCAGTTAAAGTTATTTATCATGTGATTTTCATAGCAATTCAGGAGGGCACCTCATCCATCTGCCTGCTTTTGAACATGACTTGGTATTTAGCCAGTCCCTAATAAATTCTTATATAACAGGCATGAGGGATTGCCTGGACCCTAAAGCCCCAGCCCCACCATCTCTGTTCCAGTGTTGACCTATTCTTGCAGAAAGGGAATTTGGCCAAAAGCAGCTCTAAATATTTTGTGAAGATGAAATCAGTTATTTTTCTCATCCTTGATGAAAATGGAGAACAGTTGGTCTCTGTGGCTGCTTTTCCTGGTAATGGGGTAGAATTCGGTATACTTCTTCCCTGAATTTCATCTTTTTCATTCCAGAGCCACAAAGTGGTTTCTCCCATTTAGCAATGTCATTTTGAATTCGCGCCCTGTTGTTGCGGTTTAAGCCCAGCCGACAACTCAGAACCATGCAGCCATTTGCTCACTCCCCCCTTCTCCCCAACCCAGGGTGGGATGGGGAGAATTGAAAGAATGTTAAATCCCACTGGTTGAGATAAGAACAGCCCAATAACCAAAGTATAATATAAAACTACTACTAATAATGATGAGGGAAATAACAAGAGGAGGGAGTATAAAAATAAAAAGGGAAAGGAAAAAAAAACAATAAAAACAAGTGATGCACAATACAATTGCTCACCATCCACGGACTGATGCCCAGCCTGACCCGAGCAGTGACTCAGGCCTTTCAGGTGACTCCCCTCAGTTTATATACTGGCTGTGACGTGCTGTGGTATGGAATACCCCTTTGGATAGTTCGGGTCAGGTGTTCTGTCTCTGCTTCCTCCCAGCTTCCTGTGCCCCTCCTCACTGGCAGAGCATGAGAGACTGAAACCCAGGATACCTGTTCTCCTTCAGGTTTCTCCATCCTGGTTTTGGACACAAACATGAACAGCATGTTGGCCGTTATTATGGAATAGCTGAGGACCTATGTGTTTCACGCCCTCTAATTTGGTAGAAAATTATTGATGGCTACTCTGAGAGGGATTTCCCAGTTGTCCACTTTCAACTGGTGTTGAAAGTGGGCAAATTTCAACACCAGTTGGAAGTTTGAAGGGTGTTTCAACTGGACCCTCTTTTCCTTGTGAGATGTTAGAAGCACTACAGGTACAATATATCACATCTGCTTTAGCTGTTATGCCATTCACGTTATTGCCAAAGAATAAAACAGTCTGGTTTGACAGCATCTTTTCTAATGCAAAAATGGCTGTTTTGTAATCCTTATTCTTCTTTTGGTGTTTAGAAGGGATTAGCTGATCAAAGATCTCTCAGTCTATGGAGGAGCACACCTAGGTTGTCCTAACCTGCCATTTTAAAGGCAGTGGTAACGCTTGTCTTGCTTTTGCTCTTCACAAGGGAAGTAGTTCAATACTACATTCGGCCCTTGAAGGTGAACTTCATCAGGCTCTAGTGACTTGACCACATTTAAGGTACCCAAATATTCTTCAAGCAGTTTTTGTCTCATTTTACCCATATTCCTACAAGTTCATTTTAATGGTGTAATGTATTTTGTTGCAATTTAGGATTTTATAGTCAAGTCAAACAAAAAGGTCACTTTCCTGGTTTCTCTGGATGAGCTTTTGTTTTTGTTTTCTAGTTTAAATAACAGACTTTCATTTTCCTTCCTCTTTCTCCAATATTGGCAGCATTTCTAACACCTTTCCGTACTGCTTTTTGTGTCCTGCTGCTAGCTGTAATTCATTTTGTGCCCTGGCTTTGCAACCTGTATTGCTCCATGCTTGATCTGTTTGTTTATACCTGTCTTCAGAAATGTCACCTTATTTCCATTTGTGGAACAATTGCTTCCTGGTTTTCAGTTCAGCCACACAGGTCTCTTCCTATCGAAGGAGATAGGAGGAAACCTAGAAGGAGATTCAAATTAATTCAGAATGAACCTATCTGAGGTGCTTGCAAATTTATTCTTCTTAACTTGCTCTTCTTGTTTGCTATGAGTTACCATTTATTACCAGACATCTGAATTCTTTTTCTCCCTTTCTGTCTAAGATGACCTTCTGGAAGCTAATGGCCTAAATGGCTCTGCAGTGTATTTGACATGTAATGTGTTAATTCCAATGACTGATACATTTGTTTTCATGCTAGGATTTAAAAAAAAAAATAAAATCATTCAGCTTATGTGACACATGGGGTTGTATACACACACAAGAAATACAGCTGCAGGATGCTGAAAATATTAAGGCACCACACTGCAGCAGTGGGGAAGCCCTGTTCAAGGGATGGTGAAACTTTTTCTAGCTTCCTTTTGTATTACTCCTGTAATAACTTCACTGCTGTGTTTGCTCTCCTTGCCTGTGCATGGCAGAATACAGCAGGTTTCTTCCAGGAATTGTCTAGAGATAGCTGGGGTAGTAAGAGATACCACCAGAAGGCTCAAATATTGCTGCTGCCTCTAGCAAAGGGTCAGACTTGCAGGACACGAGAGTATGTGTTAACCTGGTGTGTAGGAGGCAGGACTAACATACACAAGTCCTCTTCTTTGTACTGCCTGCAATGTTGAGTATGCTTTTGAGTCACTTTGCCCTGTTAAATGGGCTTAACAAACCCTAGCTCCCTGGAGGCTGCTTGTGGCACCTGGGAAGTGACCCAGGTGAAAAGCAGGGCTGTGCAAGGTGTGCAGGTCACTGGGAAGGCTGAAGATGAGGAGCTGGTCTGTGGCAGTGTGGACAGGGTACCAAACTTGCTTTGCTACCGCTGTAGAATGAAGAAGGAATAAGAAATAGGTAGACCCTCCTGACCTCATCTGAATTTTGGGTTTCATGTTTAGCTGCTCAGCTGGTCCCATGCTTAGCTGTACAGTTAGCAGGAGTGAAACAAGATCCTCAGGAATTTTCAGAGGAAGCAATGCCAGAGTACATGAGGGAATGTGGAGAATAATTATGCTTCCTCTATGCACTCTGTCATATCTAAGTGTTCGCCATGTCTTGTTAGCAATAACTGAAGTCAGATTAAGGATCTGTGGTGTTAGCAAAGGCCTCTTTTCTGATTTGCCAGCTGCAAATCTGGTCCCTGTGGTACCCAAGCACTAGCAGCAGCTCAGTACTGGAGCTGGGGAGGAGTTTATGGAGACTCCTTGTACTTTTCCTAACAAGAGAAGGGAGAAATATTTAGGAAAATTCTTTGAACATATGCCATTTAAAGAAGCCAAATGTGGGAATGAGGGGAAGGAAAAAACCCTCATGCACTGCACCAAGAATACTGCAGAACCACAGCCACGAAGGATCATTTATGGGAAGGTTGAGAATTTTGCTCTGTAATTGTAAATTGCAGCTGGCACTGGAAGAATACTGATGAAGAGCTCCTCTATTTCCATGGGAAGGGCATGGAAGGAGGGACAACAGTGTGCTTGCAGGCTGCTGAGTCCATAGAGCTGCAGGGGGAATCCAGGGTCTCCCAGCAGAGCACAAGATGCACTTGCCACAGTGAGGGCTTGGCTTGATGAGCATTTTAGTTGTTATGACCTGGGTAGAATTTGTGGCTTTTCAGTAGAATGAGATCCCTGCAGAATAAGCCTGTCATTACTGTGTTGGGAGGGAGAAGCATGCTCTGCTCCTAAATCCGCAGGCAGTAGGTGTATCTGGGACCTGGGATTTTTATTCAGCTCACATCTGTTCAGTGTACAGTGCTGTGCTGGGCTGGTGCACGTATGATAGCTGGGGGCATGCCAAATAAAAGGGCAGTCTGTGCCACAAAGCGCTGACAGCCCCAACCTGTGAATGATTTTGGCTGTGTTCCCTGACTCTTCTTGAACTCTGGAGTTGCCTTTCGTGGTAGCATCTCCCTCCTTTTTCTGTCCTGGCTGCACAAATGTGCTCAATTAGGGTTAACTCAAACTGAATCAAACTTCATGCCTGAGGTTGGAAATCTTCCCAGTCAACTCACCACAGCCACATAGCATGGTGGGAGACAAGGCGAGAGGGGAGATGAATGCTTTTCAGAGAAACGAATCCAAGGAAACTTTGTTCACTTTTATTTCTGCAGGAGATGATCCCCCCAAAGGAGATTTCCCTGTTCAGAAGAAATCCCCGGTGAGTGTTACAGCTGGTTTCCTTTGCTTTCTGCTCAGCTTGTTCTAAACATTGCAAGATCTCTCTGTTCTTTCCTCTGTTGTGCTCCGGCTAGAGACAAACACCCTTTCTTGCAGAGGGTTGAAATAAGCATTAGCAACTCGAGGCAAAATCCCTCCACTAACCTGATTAAGTTTAGAAAGTGCAGCTTAAAGGGAAAGACAAACTGTCTGAATGTTTGGGGAAAACGGTAAGAGTATTGATTGCTGCCTTTTTCTCTGAACACTACTTTCCTTGTGGGAAAGGAGGTACTTCTCTGAAGTGGAGGGGGATGTTGGATGTGGGAGGGAGGGAGCTGATCTGTGCATTTGCTTCTCTTGATGAAACCCACCAGGGAAGGGTACCCAGATGCTGCAAAGCAGAAGAAAGGACAGGGGCTGAGGACAGGCCACTGATGTGTGTTAACAGAGCCCAGCTGTAGTTCCAGAGCCTCAGGTTTGCATCTTTGGCTCTGATTTAAAGCCATATTCAGGTGAATATTTAGTTGCCAAAGCAGTTTTGATGTTTGTGCAGGTGTTCAGGCTGATTTTGGTTGAGTGCTTGACCCCTAAAAACTGTACACTGTATTGACTTCAGGGAGAACAGGGATTGTATTGCACCTGCTTTGACTTGCAGGACAGTATGGTAATACTTGTTCTTAAAGCTCACAGTCATGTCCTTAGTAAGCCAACTATTTAACTCCCAATTCTAAGTACTGTGCAGATATTAACTGTTAAATATCCAGAGCTCCTGGGAAATATTAACCTTTGTCCCATTTTGCAGCTAGTCAGCAAGGAGAGGTGAGAACAAACATCTCCTGTAGCTGGCAATTTAAATGACCTTTCTTTTTTCCAAAGACACAGACTATCAACTTCCACAGTATCTTTAAGAGCTCCATAATCCTGCACATCCGCAGTTCCCAGGCTTACAGTGGTAGCTAACCAGAGCAGACTATCTGCGCGCTCATGAATCCAGGCTTAGCCTCTTTGCTTTTGCTGGGGCCCTCTGCTGAGCAGGGTCCTCCTCTGCGAAAGCAAGCAAGCTGCATCTGGCTCTCTGCATGGACGAAAGCTGCCCACTTTTGGATGTCCAGGCAGGCCACAGGCAGGTCAGTGATAGAGTGGAGAGAATACGTGAGGGTTTGTGTGTGCTAATGCCATCTGATGACATACAAGCCAGATGGAAGTACCCCTGCTTGTAAGTCATTGCTCTGTGTTCGTAAGCACTTACTCAGGGCCCTTGCTCAGGCTCGTGGGCAGGTTTAGCTGGGAAGTCACAACCTCCAGCTCTGCTTCCCCTGCTTGCCCCTGCTCATCTGTAGAAGGTGCCCGTCCCAGAGCAGGAGTGCCTGAAATGAGTTACTGCCAGGCTTTCTGTCACTGCAGGTCACAGCGTAGCTTGTGATGCCTTAAACAGAAGCAGCTAAATCCAGCAGTGCTGGTGCATCTGTGCAGAGGGGTGAGTTCAGGCAGTAGGGCTCCTGACACCTGGCCAGGGTGTCATCTGGATCTGAACAGTCACACTCTGTATCTCTATCAAATGTTATTAAATCTAATGAGTGCTGATAGCCAGATCTGTGAAGGAGGGGAAGAAAATGATCCCTGTTACACAATTTTACTTCCAAGTTGAGAATATATCTCCAGATGTTTGTGCATCTACAGCTTATAGGTGCCACCATTTTTAGCCTAGTCTAAAAGCAGGAGCCCTCAATGCAGTTTCCAAGGCAGCCCACTCTGTCTTACAAACCATATGCTGAGTATCATGGTTTCAGAGTAAATAATAAATGAAATGGATAATTACATGTTTACTATAGTATAGCAAAGAGGCCAAGAGTTTCTTCATAAAAAAGCAGCCCATAAATAGCGTGAGAAAAATGTATAAAGAAGGACAAAAATACTTGTCTTCAGAGATGCTGGGTTAAGTAATGGAAAGTGGTTTTGTTTTTTTTTTTCTTGTGGACAAGCAGTCTTTTCTCTTTTGTTGGTCTTGTGTAATGTTGACCAAGACGGCACCATTAAGCAAGACTTTTCTAAACTTCATTCCATTGCTTTGGGAATCCAAATAAGCTCAGGTCTCTTGGTGGTGAAATAAACCTGGATAAACACATCTCTTTTCGTATCTGTATTTGCACTTGGGACTGTGGGAAGAAATACAGGAATTCATTACTTCCGCCATGAGGCACAGAAATGCATGTGAAAAGTTCATCTCACTTTGCTGGCCCATACCATGGCTGTTTAAAACCATAAATATGAATGCAGCAGTTAATATCACATTCCCCCCCATCCTTCAGCAAGTGCACAGCCAGCCCACTAATTGGCAGAGGCTAGGCAGTGCTGTGAAAACTTGCTTTCCCTGTTGCGAGGCAGTGGAGCAAAGCAGCTGGAAGCTGCTTAGCTTGGACCACAGTGGGGTAGCAAGAGGGACAGAGGCCCATGCAAGGTCATGCCAAGACTCATCTTTTTAAATGCCTTGTATTTCACTTGGAAGCTGCTGATTTTAGCTGGAGCAAAGTCAGATTCAGTGAAAGAGTGGCCACGCTCAGACAGGTTTGACAGTCCCATCACTGTTTTGTTTAGTTTTGATTAATAAATTGAATTATCCATAGCTATGCCAGGGTTCTTGGAATATGAAATGGATGCCATGCCTGAGGGAGTGCAGGATACAGGGCTGACACTGTGCTTCAGTGAACAAGATGGCACAGTTCAATGCAAGTGAGGTACAGAGATTGAGGGCAGTTGCTGCATGTGAGGGAGCAGCTTCACATAGAAGCAGAAAATGGCTACCTGGGGTCTACTAACTGCTGAGGCAAGCTCTGTTACTAGGAGAGAGAACAGTTTTGAGGTGCGGAAGTAGCTTTATGTGAATTGTAGGAGAAAAGGCATCTGAAGGTGTTTTTGCGTTTCAGTGGGTTTTTGCATTGCAGCAGAGAGGTGGTAGGACCCACTTCCACTGGAGTTCCTGGAGCTATGAGCATGGTAGGCTGCTGACAGCCCATGAATCTGCATGGTGGTCCTTGCTGGGCCCATGCTGGCCAGGCTGATTTGCTGGAGAGCCTTAATCAAAGCAAGGTAGGTGTGGGGTCCCCTCTTGTCCCTTCGGTCTAACCCACAGGCCAGTGGAGCAGCAGTGGGCACCTGTTTTTTTTGGGCTGGACTCTTCTCTGTCCAGGCACTATGGAGGTATTGCTGGGGTGAAGGCTTGCATAGAGCTGATACGTTCTTGTTTGTCTCCTGCAGAAACTCTGTGGCTCCAACTACCCCCTAAGCATTGCCTTCATCGTGGTGAATGAGTTCTGCGAGCGCTTCTCCTACTATGGCATGAGAGGTATAGGGCCTGTGTCTGGGAAGTGTCTTTCCTGTCCTTGGGTTTCAGCATGCATTTGTCTGGTGTTCCAGGGCTGTGTTGTATATGGTCTCAGCTGTCTTTCAAAGTAAATTGGCATTTTGGGATTCAGGTATAAATCGCGTGCCCTAATACTGATGCTACACCTGCTCTGAGCAGAATTTTGGATTAGAGAGCTCCAGGTGTGCCTTCCAGTCAAAATTTTTATGTGAGTCTCTGTACCAGATCTCGTTTTCCAGAGTGTGACATCTTTCATAGTGGTGTGCAACCAGCATGTTTGGGAATTGAATTGTACAGGCACCTAATTTTCAAATAGAAAATGAGCATAAACAGAACTACAGGTTCCGGTAAAATAAGCTAGAAAAAACATTTTCCAGCTAAACATGAATGTTTAGGAGCAAAGAATGCCTGGTACTCATATATCTCAGTTTAGCTTTTCCTGTGTCAGAGACTGAGGAACAGGTCTGAAAGCACAGACCTTTTCACAACAGTGCTCATAGCTGTTAGACGTATCAGTGCTTTTCTTGTCCCCGTGATCCTGCTTACCTGCAGAGATACACATTAATTATCTGATGTGATTTGCTTGTTTCATTTTAGCTGTCCTGACACTATACTTCTTAAGCTTCTTCCACTGGGATGAGAATCTCTCCACCGCTGTGTATCATGCCTTTTCTGCGCTATGCTATTTCACACCTGTTATTGGAGCCATCATGGCAGACTCATGGCTGGGGAAATACAAGTAAGTGAAGGCACCTCTGTAACTCATAAAGCATACACCTACACCATGCAGCCTGTACCAAGGGCAGTGCTGTGTGTGCTCCTGGTTTTAAGCTAGCTCAGAGTGTAGCAGAGACACACTTGCAAAGGTCAGCTCCTTTCCTAACCCATAAACAGCCGATTTGTTTGCTTATGCTGTTCTGTGGGCCTTTCTCCCACGGGCCAATGGGCAACAAAATTGAAACAAACTAAATGTCACAGGTACAGTTCTCCAATGTCCTTCTGTACCCATCTCCAAGAAGCTGACGTGTAGGGTGATTAACCTGCAGCTTGCAAAGATCTGCTTCTGAGAAGGATTCAATGATGGTGTGGAAGCAGTGTCATCCTCTAAATCTCACAGTTTCAGGTGAACTGTCACTACCTATACTATACTTATGCTCTCACAGCATAGCAAATGTGTGAGCACACCCATTTTCATTCCAGAGAAACCTGGTTTCACTCAAATAATCTCTCTCAGCGCATAACCAGGTAAACCCTCCCTGGGTAAGTTAGGCATTCTTCCTTTCCACTGATAGGTTGTGGGGCCATCATCTGCCCCAGAGTGGTGGTGAGCAGCTGGATATAACAGTTGCTTGGCACTGTTTGTTTATTGTCTGAGGAGACTTGGCTTGTCAGAATGATGAAGTGCAGCTGAAGCCTTCTGTCAAGGACTGGGTACATCTGGCAGAAGGGTTTCAACAGGAAAAAAACTCATCTGCCATATGCCTTTCCAGCAGGAAGTTCTTACGGAGGTGTCAATATTCTTTTCTCTTTCTGCTCAATTTTAGCCATTCTCTTGGCCCTTTGAAGAAGAAAAACCCACCCCAAAATAAGAGTGGGGGTTTATTAACTTTTTTACTTAAGGTCACTTAGCAATGTTAATTGGTATTTGAGGATGTCAATCTTGCAGCATAATGGTGTGAGAAGAGAAATCCTTTTGCAGGCTTCTGTGTGTTAGGCAAGACTTTATGACTTAATGGGAGGAGGCTTTTACTGTATTAGCTGGATCTCAGCCAATACTGGGGACAGAATAACAGATTATAGGTGCTTTTAGGAATGATCTGATGTGGCTTTAAATTAGCTGTTGGAACTAGGGTTTGGATGCGTTGAGGATCACTGCAGTTGCTCAAAGCTTATAGGACTTCTAGTGCCTCTGTCCTAAAAAGTCCATCCATTCCCTTTGTGTATGTCTTCTGCATGTAAATATGTAGATATCTCTTAATCCTGAAGGTGATGAAGGAACAGAATACATTCAAGAGACTGATCCTCCTAGTCAGATTTCTATTTCTTCCTCAACAAGACATGGGAGGCAGGTAGATGGGTTCAGACCTTTAGTCCTTAAGGTATTTGGAATCTGAAACAAACTTGTAATAGGAAATCAGGCTCCTAATTCAGATGTTAGGTGGGTTGAATGTGAGCGACAGTCCCTATAGATGCCTTCCAGTCAAGGGATTCCTTTCGGTGCCTGCTGCAATGCCAGTTGTTAGTAATCTGGAAACTGAGTTGAAGTATTCAAGACCAGGTTAGATGGGACTTTAATCAACCTGGTCTGGTGGAAGGGGTCCCTGCCCCTGCCAGGGAGCTGGAACTAGATGATCTTTAAAGTCCCTTCCAACCCAGACCTTTCTATGATTTGCAGCCTTCCATGCCTGACAAGACTGGAATGTATTTAGTTTATTCTGCTGATTAACCTCTGCGAAGAAAGCAGGGGGTATCCCTCCTTAATCTGAACCAGTTTGCCTGTTTTTTCTAGTGCACTCAGTGTTGACACAAAAGTTATAGCTGCCTGCTATGCCAGTGGAATGAAAAACCTGTTCCTTATGTGTCTGCCAAGTAGACCTGCCATGTTAGGAAGCACAGGCATGCTCTGTTCTCAAACTGTACATCACTTTTAGTCATTGCTGTTTCCTTTCCTCACAGGACGATCATTTACCTCTCCATTGTGTATGTTGTTGGCCATCTGATAAAGTCAGTCGGTGCAATTCCATCCCTAGGCAACCAGGTGGTTCATGTGTAAGTAACTGTTGAAGCTGCAGGAGGTTGTGATGGTAGCTGGTTTAGCAGGGTGGTAATTTGTTTCACCTCCATTGGGCTAGCAGTACGGGGGCTGTGCGCGGGTTGTGTTTACCAGAGAAGGGTTTAGGGTGTTTGAGGGTGGATGTAGAGTGTGAATGTACCACCACAGACTCTAAGCCCTTTGATGAGTTGAAACCACCACAGGCTCATTCCTCTCTCATTTCTTCATCAGCCTCTAAGCCCTTTGATATAGACACCTCCAATCTCTTTTTGCCTAGGTGGTCATAGCTCTAAAAATACACATGTGCAGGAAGGAGCACATCTCATTTCCAGAACAGTCTCCTTTTGTCCTAGACTTGTTCAGTCCTGACACTCCTGTTCCCTACAGGTGTAATCTGTTTGGCCACCAATGGTATTTTGAGGAGCAGTGGGAAGTAGCAAACACCCAAGAATGAGCCTAATTCAGTTTGTCTGCGCTTACTGAGGCTGGAAGGCTATAGGAAAAGGCTTTGTATCTTTTTTTTTTCTTTTTTTATTTTTCTCAATGGATCTCTGCAATCTTTAGTTCTCGTCTGAGTGAAAAATAAACCCACGGATCTTTGATCTTTAGTATATCCATTAGGCCTCAGAACAGAAAGAAACTGACAAAACCAGTTGGTTAATTGACTTGTACTGAATACAGAAATGAGGATAATGAATTTGATTGTTTTGCACTTTGCTGGCTCATCACTTACGTACCTGCAAAAGGAAATGATATTAATGGACCCATGGTTGGGTGACACTAAAATGCTCTCATAAACCCTGGAAAGGTTCTGCAATGGTGATATTTTTGTTCTTGCATGAAGGATCCTGTCTATGGTTGGTCTGTTTTTGATCGCCCTTGGAACGGGAGGTATCAAGCCCTGTGTCTCTGCATTTGGTGGGGACCAGTTTGAAGAGGAACATGTAAGATTTCTTTTCTTTCTTAAAATCTTCAGTGTCTGCTTGCTTCTTGGGGATGTTTATGTGATCAAATCCTGTTGTTCTAGGATAAGGGCCCGTTTGCTAGGGAAAGTTGTAGTAAGATGTGAGGTAGGATGGTTTGCATAAGACTTGAGAGAATCTGGATGCTTTAGGAAAGGAAAATGACAGCAAAACAGAACTGATATTGGGAAGGATAAGTCATAATTGCATCAAATCATCTAAATGTTAATTGGATGTCAAGAGTAGTTGGAAAATTCCATATAATGTATCACAGAACTGTAGCCATTTCTGAGCCAGCTTAACAGGGGTAGCTATAATGCACTGCAATGCAATACAGCAAATGAAAGAAAAAAACGTATCACCAGCCTATGCTTCCTTGGGAAATTTTTCCTCAAATCAGACATAGTCTGTGTCTTACATATTGTTCAGAAAGAACTGTAAGAAATTCCAGTCTTTTGAAAGTAGTGCTGGTACCAAATCTACCCAGAATGCTTTCTAAATGTTCCAGAATGGAAAGTTCTGAACAGCTGGGAAAATGCTTCTTTTTAGATTTGTTTGTGCTCTGCATCTGTGAATTGTAGCCCAGTTGCTTTGTCTCCTCACTCTCTATCATGAATGCTTAGCCCCTCACCTGCACTAATCTCAAACTCCCATTACATTCAGAACAGTGTTTCAAACAGGGATAAAGTAATGCTTAAAGAAATGAAGAAGGTCAGGAAATGCTAATTGTCAGGCAAAATGTCAGATTTTCAAACTGACCTGAAATAAACCACTCAGATTTATGTTGACCTAACACACAAATAAAAAATTCCATTTTCTCAGTGGTAGTATTCATATCAGCAACTTCTGTGCGTGCCATAAATCCTCAAATATGTGGAAGGCCACTGCTAAAAGAAAGAAAATAAGCGTTGGGGTCTGTGATGAGTAGGCTTAAATTCAAGGAGCATTATATGGGACTGACAGTAGGAAAAGATTTCCAGAAATATATCTAGAGAAGTACTGGAAAAGATTAGGACCTGTGAGAGATGGCAGCTCCCATCAGTGGAGGCATGCAAGAAGGATATTAGGCTAATGGTCTGTTGGGAAAGGCACTGGTAGAGTTGGACTAGGGATGGTCCCTTAGTCTTGGACAAAAGATGGGAACTCTGTAGGGCAGTTTGCTGTTTGTCTTTTGCAATGCCCAAGCACATAGTCAGCATTTAATGAATAGATAATATAGAGTAGAATCTTTATTTTGTAATTTTGGGAAGACATGTGCTTTCTGTACATGAACTGTGGTTCATGATTACTAAGGAATAGCAAAACACAGGATGTTTCATAGTCACTTGTTCAAAGACCCTTTTGCAGGCATGTCCATCCTGTGTTGGACCCAGTGGTTTAGAGGGAAGAACTTGAGAAGAGGCAGCAGCAGTGACCTGGTGGTCGCCAGCTGCATCAGTTGGCACAAATCTGACCAAAAGCAGGCGTGGCAGTACAACACACATGCTCTGGAAATATACTGTTTGCACACTAGCATGTGGGCATCCCAGCCTGCAGTACCAGTAGTTGTCCCAAAAGTATTCGAATAGGTGTTCTAGCAGCATTTTCAGAAGTGCTGCTTCTATGAATATTAATGATTAATACTGTTTATCCAGCATCTTTCAATTACCACCTAATTACAGTGTGATAATATGTACCACTTATCTTCAGAGTGTTTTATAAACTTCAGTTAATGAAGCTCAGTACCCCAGTTGGGTATATACATATTATTATCCCAACCTTACAATCACAACTGAGTTACAGAACAAAACCTGAATTCCCTGTGTTTGTGCGGGCCTGTACCCATACTCCAGCATTCAGACTACACATTTCCATCAAATTTATCAAATACTAAGGCTCAAACATTCACCTGCATATTTCCTTCAAGAAAAAAAAAATAATTTGGAGAAAGAAAAATGTAAAAAGCCTTCTGATAAGGGCAATGCCTTCTGCTGTATTTGTTATTTTCAGTAGGAAGTCTTGTATTCTACCATTTTGAAATGACTTGGTCTTTCAGAAGAAAGAAAAGATTTATGCTACATGATAGGAAATTTAAGTCTTCAAAATTGGAGTAAGAAATTTTGGTCACGTAAGGACTGAAAACTTTGGGCCTAACCAGAATATTTCTCCCCTTCAGAGTGGTGTCTGGGAGGACTTACATTTTTCATCTTCCACTCCAGTAGGATGAAATAAGTTTTGAAAAATCCCAATGAAATGAAGCATTTGATTTCCCCCTTAGTTTTCAGGATGCCAATAAAACTCAGATGAGCCCTTAAGTGCACAGGCTTAGTTGCTCTATCTGGAAATGAGGGATGTGGTAGTTCTGTACAGAAAATGAATAAATAAATTGCCCCTGCTATTCTCATGTAGAGACAAATTTATGTTTTGAGGCAAATGCACACCACTGGTCCTGTTTTCTTGTAAGTACTTTAGGATTGTAATAGTCTTGGGTCTGCCAGTTTGAGAACAGTACTGCAACAAACAGTGATAGAGACTGATTCAGCAGGAGGTCAGACAGGGAAAGTAGATTTATCTGTGGGAGATTTCCAAGCATCTTTGTCTATGGGATTAGGAGTCCAACCTAAAAAATCCTGAATAAAATTATATTTACGATATGTTATATGACTTAGAAAGCTGCTGTGCATATTGATTAAGGACCAAAGCTGCTTTCAGGCAGTATGATATGGTGTTTAAGGTACTAAATAGCTTTCTCTTTGTTTCTTTATTTTCTGGTTGCCAAGGAGATCAGGATTATTGTGTATGCTGCATTTTCTCAAATTAGTTAATCCAAATGATGTTGTTAATGTAAGTCTGCTCCAAAGATTAAGAAAATAGGGATGGAATTCCTAATTTTCCAATCAGAGTAATTTGCAAGCTGCTGGATTATTGTTTTTTTACTCACTTCTGGTTTTCTCTGACCATTTCTTTTTTCCATTGCTTAAATCTAAAAATACGTGAAATAAAGTGCTCCAAATTCTTTACGTATAGCTTTCCTTGTCTCTTATCAGCACATTATTTTGGATAATTATTGCTCTAGACTTTATTATGTTGAGATCTGCATGCTTGAGTTTTTCTCAGGTGTCAGAAATTCTGAGTTGCTCAGATACAAAGCGTTAGTGATAGGCATTGGTAGAATCTAGAGAATTTGGCTAGAAGAGGACAGGACTCTGAGGACTCTATTTCACCACCATGTCAAGCCATGGCAGGGCTACTCTGGGGGTGGGAGAGATTTGCTGAGGCTGTTGATTTCTCTAGATTTCCTTATGGTGACAAGTATCTTACCACAAAGGTAGAATGAAGAAGGAAATACACTTTTACTAGCTTAGCAGTAGAAAGCTTCAGGTAATCAAACCACTGGAGCATAAACCACAATGGAGCATAGAAGACAGTAAGACCCAGTGCTGTTTGCTGTTAACCATAGGGACATTCCATAGAGATGATTATTATAAGGCTTACAGATCCTTTAATCCAGGATACATAATTTGAGTAATATATGGATTAGATTGCTTGGAACACACTAGTTAATAAAATTGTGGAAAAGCCAGAAGTTCAATTTGATGGGGTCTTTATAACTGGGAAAAGCAAAAAGCCCTTAATCCAAGTGGGGGACCCCCAGGCTCCTTGGTGGCTAGCAGTGGGAGTGGTTCTCACCCTCACCTTCCCTGTACCCATGTCACAAGGCAACATAAAGTCTCCCAAGCCCTCGCCCTCCCTTGCCCACAGTGGTCCCCTGTGATAAGAGGCTTCTTGCCATCCGAAGTAGCAATATTTCCTGTTGACTTCTCCATCAGTTATGGAATGTTTTGTTACATTTCTGGGTCTTGGGCTTCATTCCTTAACAGCTATCCTTTTTTAGCTGCCTGCAATTCTTCACATCTTCTCCTGTTTTCTAGCCTTGTCAATATTATTGTCTCGGGGAGCAGAAGGAAGCAGAATATATTAGAAAGAGACGGGATGGAAACATGCCCTTGAGGAGCTTCTTCACATTCTGCTAAGCTGAAGCTTCATATTCTAATGATGCTCAGGTCATAGAGATGTGGCTCAAGGTGCCCTAAGGAACTCTGTGCCAGAAACCTAGCCATGCCCCAAGCAATTTGCCCATTACATGTTACAGGACCTGATGGCAGCTGGGAGGGAAGCCTAGATACTTATGGAGCATACTGGCTGCCTGGGTTTAGGCTGTCCTTAACTGCTGTTTTTATCAACTCAGGTGTGCCATAACTGGTGGTATAGATGAGCATGGGATAGGTCAGGTAGTCTGTTCTTCTTTCTCCTTTCTGCTGGTCCACCCAGGCACAAGGAGGAGGTTTAGCACTATGTATGTGAATATGACTGTGCATTCCTATCTGCCCCACAAACAAGGAGAAACTGCTCTCAGATGAATGTCTTCACACATTACTCCTGCAAAAAGGACCAAACTCTGCATCAAGTTCTTGATTCCTTCTGTGTTATGAATTATGATGGAAGAAAACAGATCAAGAATCCTTTAACTGTATGAACTATAATATGTTAAAATAACAGTTTCTCTTATGGTTCATACCTACATCAAGCTCTTGAATTCGCTCCTGTAGGTTTAATTTACTCTATTATTTTGAGGTTGACTGGCGTCAGCTTGGTGACCTCCTGTCTGATGGATACCTCTCATTTGCTGGCACTCTCTCATCTATGCTGTCATTACAGCTCTCAAAATACACAGGTTTCTTTTTCTGTTCCTACACAGGAAGGGGGCGGGGGGGGAGAAGTTCTCAAACATGAGAAGAAATTATGAACTTGTCAAGCCATGCCAAATTGGATTGAATTAGGTGACAGAGGATCTAAATCATGCTACATGTTCTGAATAAGTAAATGCTCTCTGCTCCTTCCTCTCACAGTGCTCTTGGAGCAGTGTCTGGCTTTTCCTCTGAAATGCCAAAAAGCCCCAAAGCACTTCTTGAGTAACATGAGCTGATTTGTGTAAGCATTTACCATCACCTGAACACAAGCTTGTTTGCTTAACATTTTATGCACTGTGTGTCAATGTTTACCCAGCATTCCTAACAAGAGAATTGACAGTATTCACTTTGCAAGCCCAATGCTGTGCATTAGCCGTGACACTGATATTGTCTTCTCTTGTTTTAGACCTCGGAGAGAAGCAAGTTTTTTTCCATCTTCTATTTATCCATTAATGCTGGAAGTTTGATCTCCACGTTTGTAACTCCTGTATTAAGAGGTCAGTGTTGATTTAGAACAAGACAATAAATTAGCTGCCCTCTGACTACTGTGCTGTGCATAGTTTTAGGCTTTTATGACAGCTGAATGGCAGAAATTATATTACCTGTGGAGTGGTCAGTGCATTGCATTTATGCCTTGTTAATCCTGCTGTAGCAGCGTAACAGATTTATAGTACTAGCAGACAAGTCACAGAAACTGTATTTCTGGTTGTATTTGGAAGCCAGCCTGAACTGCAGAATTAAAATACAAAAGGTACAAGGACCTATATGATGATGTAATCCTTCCCATTGCCAGTGAAGGATTATTTCCCCATCTTGCTTGCAGGTACCTTATAGATGAGAATTGATCTCTGCTGTCCTGTGCAGATGTCAGGGCCAAAAACTTAGCAGGGCTGGTTTTGAAGTCCTACCTTCTTCCTCACATAGGGTGCTGCTGACTTCTGGAGGGTTTTGTCCTGGCACACATGCATGTCTGTATGGGTCTGCCTGCAAGATTTCAGCCCTGGGCAACTAGCCTTGAAGACAAAACAGAGACCTATGCCCCATTTAAGACCTACTTTATATTCTAGCCAGCTTGTACAACTCTTTTTAGTCTACCAGTTTTGCTGCACTTACTTCACTGTATTGCAGTGCCTAGAAGCTGTAGTGGCACACCCTAAATACAGACACAGAGGCAGAGCAGCAGGCCATAGGTGGTGGGGATAGGGACAGGGACAAGGATAAGGTAGCCTCCACATTTAGTAGTAATTTTTTTTAATTTCATCCTGTGGCCTCCAGGAAGGTTTCTTTGTTCAGTGTGATTGTTTTAACAGGCTGATCATTTCATGAGCTGTGGGCAATTGTGCTTTTCTCGTATTTACACCATATGTACAGGCAAAGACAAATGTTGTATCATAGAATGGTGGGGGCTGGAAAGAACCTAAAGATCATCTAGTTCCAACCCCCTTGTCATGGGCAGGGATGCCTCACACTAAACCATGTTGCCCAAGGCGCTGTCCAACCTGGCCTTGAACACCACCAGGGGTGGAGCATTTACCACTTCTTTGGGCAACCTGTTCCAGTGCCTCACCACCCTCACAGTAAAGAACTTCTTCCTTATACCTAACCTGAACTTTCCCTGTTAAAGTTTGAACCCATTGCCCCTTGTCCTATCACTACAGTCCCTAATGAAGAGTCCCTCTCCAGCATCCTTGTAGGCCTCATTCAGATACTGGAAGGCTGCTACGAGGTCTGCACATAGCCTTCTCTTCTCCAGGCTGAACATCCCTGACTTTCTCAGCCTGTCTTTATATCTCTTGGTCTTTCTCTTATTGGTGTGCCCAAGTCAGCATTCTGTTGGAAAGGGGCTTTTGCTCAGTGTAATCAGTGAGCAGATGAAAATCCAGTGCCCTTTGAACATCAAAACCTGTGCCAATATAGCCCAGCAATAAACTAGTCACAACATGGAAATGAGGTGGAGAGGATGGGGAAAGAGTAAAATTTTTGCTAAGTGTGAAAGGTTTTTTGGAAGAGCAAGAAATGCAGTTTGTAGACATTTGGCACAAATGTGGAATATATACTTTAAGGTGGAGAAGTCCAACTCATTTTGCATGTCAGAAGTTCAGTGTGCTCATAACGTCTCACTGCCAACTTTGTTGGATTCCAGCTAATTTGCTGAAAATAAGTAAATAAGCTATGCACTCACACAACGATGCAGCTGACCATGACTGCCCAGGGACAACAAACAGGAACTGAAAGCTTCATGGTTTGGCTTCCTGTTAACTGTGTTGGCTTGTTTTCGCATTTTGTTATTACTCCATGTAAGAATGCAGTAATTTGTAGCCACTGGCATACAAACACAGACCCTGCTGCTGGCTTACTCTTTGCAACTGGACCTCTAAATTCATGTGGTATGAGAACTGACCTAGTTGAAGAGGTGGAGGGTTTCAGTGAACCATAGCTCAGATCAATCAAAGCCATGCTGGTTTCCTGATGTGTTATTGCAGGACCTGGCATTCGGAGCAGGCTGCCTCTAGTGAGACTGGGAAAGTGGTGAGAAAAGGAACTGCAGTTTTAAGACCAGTCCTGTTCTTCCACTTACACAGTAGGGGCATTGGCTTCCACATTGTTGCTATGAAATCAGATTCCAGTTTTTACCTCAATAACTCATGCATCTGGCACAAATAATGTGGAAACACAGTACTGGTTATTTAGATCTAGGCAAATAAAAAATGGCTTCAGGTTATTTAAACGTTGTGGGTTTTTTGCCCAATTACAGTTCCTACCTATTTGTCTGCTTTCTCACTTCTACTATTCTCATCAATATACCATTATCAGCTGCTTTTGCTGGCAGACACTAACCCTGCTTCCAAATTTTCTTTGTCAAGGGAGGACAATTGTTTCAAGGAGATTCAATTCACAGTGTCAAGCACCAGCAAAGAAGATTTAAAGCCAGGGGAAGTGAATGATTTAGGGAAGCATATCAAAGGGCCCAGTAACATAAGTCTGACTGTAATGAGGTGCTTTTATTTCTGACTTCTTTCAGGGGATGTGAAATGCTTTGGAGAGGATTGTTATGCACTGGCTTTTGGTGTCCCAGCAGCATTGATGGTGTTGGCGCTTGGTGAGTGGAAACAATAAAGCTTGTAATAGGAGTTACCATTTTTGAGTCCATGAATAGATGAGAAAATGTACAAATTCAGTAGCTCTGGATGGATATTCAAGGTTTCAAGGTTATCCAAAAATTCCACAGTTCAGAACGACAAGAAAAATCACTAGTTCATTGGTGGGCAGAAGGTGGTTTTACCGCAGTCCTTTATTATGATACTGATGAGAGAGTGGTTTGGGCAGTGTTTCACAATACAACTGCCTGGTTCTATAAAGCAAAGGGAGGCACCAAAATGATTCTTCTGATGTCTTGCAGCTTCACCTATGAGCAGGCTTGGCCTTTGAACTGCACTCTGAGCAGTTGCTGGAGTTTCCCATATTCTAGAGGAGAAGCTTAGCCATGCCACTTCTAATCTCTCCACAGTCTCTTTGCATCTTGGGACCATCTTTAATGGCTCAGACTTTTGCTTCAGAATCTATATGCCACAGAAATTGTAGGAGGAGCTGAATGAGATGTTACTTTATTATGAGCTGCCTCACTTCACTTGACTGAAGTAATTCCCACAATTACAGTGACAACGTATTATTATGTTGCAATAAGAAACCCTTATTGTTCAAGTGTCAGAAGGCAGCTGCAATCACCCTGCTTCCTAAAGCTTGCATCTTAGCCCCATTAATGTACCTGTCAAGATTTCTTCTTCAACCCTTATAAAATACTCAGCAATTTCCATGTTCTTGCTGTTACTCCTTGGTAGCCAATATAGAAGACGCCCCATTAGCTTTAGTTTCACAGTTGCAAGCTGCTGAGGGGAGCAAGTCCTCTTATTATACTATATTGGAGAGGTTCTGACACAGCATGGGGTGACTTCTCATTCAGCTTGTTAGCTAAATTGAGAGGCCAAGCAATTGTGTGATTTCACCATAGCATCTGTGATTTGAAAAGTTCGTCCCCCAGAGAACGTGGGTGTTGCTCCCCCCTCAAACTTCCATCAAAGAGAAGAATCAGAACTGGAAAAATGTCATTGGGCCACAGCTAACACTGCAGCAATTATTTTCAGAAAAGTGCATGGTCACGGGCCTGAGAAACTTCTCTTTTCCCCTGTGACCTGTTCCTATCAGTTTAAGGCAGCACAGGCTCCTCTGCGCACCATTGTGTGATGAATGTTTCTAGCAGAGTAGTAGCTGCCCAGGGGAAAATGGGTATGTAAATATTGCAGTTTCAGTGAGGGCATCAATTGAAATGTGTTTTTAGCTAGTGTCCTGCTGCCAGATTCCACAGCCTGCCCAGCAAAGTAGCTCTGTGTTCCTTTGTAACATGCTAAAATGCTCTTGGAAGTGATATATTTGATTATGTGAGCAGAATGCAGAACTGGAGAAAATACCATTTCAGCCCTGACTGGGCCTCTCCCTGTCATGATGGAAAGCAAAAATAGACTTAGAGGCAGAATGAAAATCTTATAGAGGAAGATTTTTGTGAGCTTCTTCAGTTTCTGAAAGATGAGGGAAGGTTGACACTATTTAATTCCAAATACCAAACCTAATGCTGGAACCTCAGTTCCCAAAGGAGTCAGTGGCATCTCCAGAAGGTATTTCAGCAGACCTAATTAATCACCTTTCGGAGGCACCAGCAGGTCCGCAGAGAGATGCTAAAAAATAAGGTAGTGCAACTACTCACTGTGGGTGACTTTGAACAAGTGTCTTTCAGTGCAACTCATCTAAACTGACTTCAGAGGTGTCTCTGACAGTTCTGCAAGTCAAAACTGGATGTGAAGGGTCTTCATAATCAGAAAAGAGAAACTGGTTTCCTTGCAGTGTCCCAGGCCTCCTGTGTTAGTTCAGAGGTGTCTGCTTTTCTCCACTGGCTGTGGACTGACCCAGATAATTGGGTTAATTTAGAAAGTTGAGGTTGGTTTGTTATATGGATTTCACACTCAGCTTTTATTGTGCTTCTCTCTGCCAATATCTTTCCAATTGCAAAGTGCTCAGAGGCTCTCAAAGAGCAGGACAAATGATATATAATCAGATAGCCCCATCTCTGACAGGATTTTGAAGCCTCGGTCCAATATTCTTTGTGCTTTGAAGGAGAAAACCCAGGCAAAACAATATCTTAAATTGTGTATCCCCTCATAGAAACCATAAATAGAGGTAATTTCTGTTAACACCAGTGTGTGATGCAGTGACCTTAGTGGCTGTTTCCATTGAAATATGTGTGAGATGCAAGTACAAAAAGCCTGCTTTGGGTCTGGATTAATTCTCACACAGTTGCAATTAGTCGGGGGTGATTTCCAGCAATTCAATATGGATTTTAGTTCAAGTTTAGCCTACAAAAAGCATAGATGGAGGGAATGTTTAAAACTTTGTTTTCCAGTGTGAATCAAATGTAGAGGTACCTGTTGTGCCAGAGCAGATCATGAGAAGATTATGGTGACTTCCTAAGAATCATGCTGCCTCTTGTAGGATGCTGCATTTTCTTCCATGTGAAGGCATTAAAGGAGTTCTGTATATTTATTCTGTTAAAAGTTTGATCCTGTAAGCCCCAAAGGCATAGGATTTCTGTGGAATAGAGGGGTGGGGGATCCTCCCCAGAAGCCAGTGTAGGATTGAGCCTCAGTCATGTGAATTCCCATTTGGATTACAATATTTTTCAGTTGTATTCATTGCTGGAAGTGGACTGTACAGAAAAACACCACCACGAGGGAACATCTTATTGGAAGTGTGTAAATGCATCGGTGTAAGTGTATGCCATTTTCTCTTTTTCATGCATGATTCTGAGGTTTCAGAAAAGTGCAAAGGGAGGTGGCATTTGGAGTTCTTTATGCTGCTCCTGGGTATCTTGCAAATGAGCTATAAGGAGGAAGAAACATGTTTATGTCCTAGTTTATTCTTTCAATATTTCAATTGCTTTTCCTTAGCTACATGAACTGTTCAGTTGATGTCAGTAGAACCACTAGTGGCAGGTGCTGGTGGAGAGTGAACTGAAAGGACAATTCAGAAACTTGGAGAGTATCAGATATGTGACTCAATTTTTTTCAGCTGAATAATTTTACTGAAGTTTATCAGTTCAGCAGACAGTAATCATACACATTCATATTATGCACATTCACCATATTCATGTGAATGCAAGAGACACCTGCTGAAGTTGCATTATAGCCTTATCAATTATTTTTTCATAGTGTGTGAACTGAATATAGTATGTAAAAAAACCTTCACCCTCTTATTAAGTGGATAATGACTTTTTTTTTTTTTCTCTTGCCCAGGAAGCTGTTGCTATCAGGAGATGTTTTCATTTTGCCTAGGTCAACCCTAGAGACAGATTTACTGTGGGGAAAAGGCCAGATCTTAAAGATAGGATTTCTAAGTGAAGTCTGCCACTCTTTTTGCCAGAATGGCTGATTTCAGTGTGCTCAGTGACTGGAGCACACAGCATAAACAAACAGGTTACAGCTTCAGTGTCACAGCTTTCTCCAGTGAGAAACAAACCTGAAAGATGGTCTAGGAGTGAATGAGGCATGGGCTGCACCAGTAATTTGCCAAGAAAGGTCTACAGAACAAGAAGGAAGTGAGAGTTCTGGTTTAGAGGTTGCTTTGGATGAGGTATTTCCTCCCCAGCACAGTGGTCAATCCAACAGGTGCTTTTTGGAAGGGAACTGAAGAAATTCTGTTTAAAGCCTTATCATGTAGCAAGTTTTAAATCAAGCATGAAACAGACTTTGGGGGCAATTTTCTGGCGCTGCTTACATTTGGGGATGGGGAGGGCAGCTTGAGTTGGCAATGTGACAAGGGTAGGCAAACCACGAGGGAGTTACTCACCTGGTTTTCTTCCTAGTTTGCTATTAAAAACCGTCTGAAAAACCGCTCCAGTCAGATTCCAAAGAGAGATCACTGGCTGGACTGGGCATCAGAAAAATACTCGGTAAGCAGTGCTCTATGTGGCAGGTTTGGAGGGGGAAGACAAGCGAACAGACAGGGAGACAGTAAGACTGGCCTGGCCACAGCACTCCTCACATGCATCAGGTTCTCATTTGTCCTGTCCCTTCCCATGAAGTCTGTACTCTCCTGACCCTTACTGAATAGTTTAGGTGCTGCACTGAAATGCAGAAATTCAAGTACGTCCACTCTCATGAGTAAGTGCAATGAATAACTGCCATGCAGAAAGAAATAGGAGTTCTCATGTTTTGTGGCTTGAATCGCCTTTTGGCTTTTTTCACCCCCATCTCACCTTTTTGCCCATTGCCTTTACAGAAACAGCTGATTGGGGAGATTAAAATGGTGACACGAGTTCTCTTCCTCTTTATACCACTGCCAATGTTCTGGGCCCTGTTTGATCAGCAGGTACAGTACAGTGTGTGGCAGGTCTGCCCACCAGCCTGGGTTTGCACCCTTGTCCTTCCAGGGTAAGACCAAAGCATTCTGGGGACACAGAGTGCCATGTCTCCTATGAGATGCGCAGGGGCTTGCTAAGGCAGTATCCACCATCACTGCTGGCCATCCTTCTGCAGTCCAGCCAGGTGTCTGGTGCAGGAGGGTGAGAAGGCAGAATGTGCCCTGCTTACTGGCAGATATTAGAGGGAAGAAAAGAAATAGAAGCGAAATAAGACCTCCAGCACTGTAGTCTTTTCTGTCCCTGTGTTTTCTAGTTCCATAGGACATCTTGAAGGCTTCACAGTTGTCTGTTTTCTCCTTAGGGATCCAGGTGGACTTTGCAAGCCACAAAAATGAATGCTGATTTTGTAAGTACTTAATGTAACCAGGGTTGATAAGACTAGTAGTAACATCACTGCTCTTGCTTTGTAACCAGAGTCTTACATACTAAGAGCATCTGCTTGATAAGTCTGGGTGAGTTGCACTTTTGGTGATTAGAAGCGAGAGGTTCTGCGCAGTCATGTTCAGTTCAACACAGCACGTGTTGGCTGGGGAGCCATCAGCAGCCTGCAGGGTCAGGAGTGCTGACCTACTGACAACTGGTTGCTCTGCGACCTTGAGTGGGTAAGGTTTACAGCCTGCTACCCCCACTGAAGACAGAGATGCTGGGGAAAGTTCACACATTCCTTGTAAGGTGTAACTAGAGCTACTGTAGTTTTACATTCCTGCTCTGGCTTTCTGGGTGATACATTAATGAGTCCTCTTAAAACCAGCAGGAATCCTGTGTTGTATATGGTAGAGATGTGGTGAGGATTAACTAGCATGCATGAAGTTCTTCAAAGATGTGAATGGTAAATGGTACAGGGTGCAATGGCAGATAAATTTGGATCACGTATCTGCCTGAACATGCCACTATACAGGGCTGGTTTCCAGACCTACAGGTTTTAACAGGCCATCTGTATCTTAGCTGTGGATGCTCACATCAGAATTTAGGATTGTAAATGCCCATTTTCAAATTGACTTAAAAGCCCCAAATTTGAACCCTTCTATGTCACTCCTGTTAAAAATTGGTCTCTCAGCGTGTGGTAGTCATAAGGCTTAATTAATTCAGATAGGCAGGAAAAAGACTACAACTATGTATTTATCCACTACAGAAATACAAAGCAATGAAAATTCATGCAGTCTTTGTGATGTGTGTTTAAAAAACTTTCTCGTATTTAAAAAACTTTCTCTGCTGTTTGCACACTTATATTTGGTGATCCATCAGCAGCAGATCTAAGGATCACCAGCTGCCACTTATTAAACTCTCCCTTGTGGAGGAGGACATATTCAGGGCTCTTCTGTCACACCACCTTGGGTTGATTTTTGGCTTGTAATTCAGTCTTATCCACCCTCCACTGGTGAGCTGTCCCAACTCATGGAGGTGAGAATTAACTGCAACATTGAGATGATCCCACATTTTCTTGGAAAGATAGAATCATAGAATAGTTAGGGTTGGAAAGGGCCTTAAGATCATCAAGTTCCAACCCCCTTGTCATGGGCAGGGACACCTCACACCAAACCATGTCATCCAAGCCCTCATTCAACCTGGCCTTGAACACTGCCAGGGATGGAGCATTCACAACCTCCCTGGGCAACCCATTCCAGTGCCTCACCACCCTAACAGGAAAGAATTTCCTCCTTATATCCAATCTAAACTTCCCCCATATAAGTTTGAACCTGTTACCCCTTGCCCTATCACTATAGTCCCTAATGAAGAGTCTCTCCCCGGCATCCCTATAGACCCCCTTCAGATACTGGAAGGCTGCTATGAGGTCTCCACGCAGCCTTCTCTTCTCCAGGCTGAACAGCCCCAACTTTCTCAGCCTATCTTCATACAGGAGATGCTCCAGTCCCCTGATCATCCTCGTGGCCCTCCTCTGGACTTGTTCCAACAGTTCCGTGTCCTTTTTATGTTGAGATCTTCTGTCTTTGATGAAGTTTCAAATGGAAAAATGCCAGTATTCATTTCCTATGGCTTTGGTGATCTCAAAAGAAATCTGGATAAATACTGTTTTCTTCTTACTTTTTCCCCTCTTCAACTTAATTTCAAATGAAGACCATTGCTTGGAGTTCAAACAAACACCAAACACTCCCTGGAGACAGCTCCTTGGTCCCTTTTGGGGACTGGGACCCTTCTGTCTACCCCTTTTGACCATGCCCAATTGAGGGGGCTGAGTGCAGTGATGTAAGGGTGAGGCACCGCTTATAGCCTTGAGGACTATATATATGGCTTAAACAAAAAAGTCACAGTTGAACAAAGCCAATTAGGTACCCTTGGCAGATGGAGGGAGGAAAGAGGTGTTTGTGCAGCCCACTGTCTCAGGGATAGTCTTTTGTTACCGTTGTGGGGTGCTCAGGAGAATCATCAACAGAGCTTTGAGGGTCCTGAAGCTTGGGAGCACTCACTTGTAGGATTTGGGCTTTTCCCATTACAGAAGCAGGGAGGGAGGAAACGCTAAGCTCAAATCCCAGGTTGGACGTTAACATGCCTATTCATTCCCACTCGCCTAGTTCACAGCACAGCCATTCTGAAAGATGTGTCTTAGTACCTGTCATAGTCTGTGTCCTAGCTGCTATATATCAAGGACTGAGTATAAGCTTCCTTCTGCAAAATGATTCCCATCAAACACCGTGTCCTTAGAAGAGAAGTGTCGGGAGAACAATATTAGCAGCTAAAGCCAACATAAAGCATTTGAGGAAAAAGCCTTTGCTGCTGTGGGTCTCTACTGGACTGGTTGCTTGTTTGCCATATGCACTGTTATATTATGGTGTTTATGAGTCACTTGCAATATCTTTTTGTTTCAGGGAATATATGTCCTTCAGCCTGACCAAATGCAGGTAAAATACTATAGGGTTGGAAATAACCCTTAGAAATGTGTTGTCTTTTTCTCTCTCATTTTTATTCTTCTCATGGGACCAGTGGCCTTTCTCTGCTCCTTTTGAAGGTAATAGCAGTGCTCCTGCTGACTGCTGTGGTGTGGACTCTGCCTTTATTGCTCACTGTTTTACAAGCTTAGTCTTGGGATCCAGAAGACTCCAAGGATGTCCTGACATCCTTGAGGTTGAATCTTGCAGAATAGTACAGAGGTGGGGAGACATTCCAACATAATATTTCTTGAACTAGTGCTGGCATGTGGAGGATACAAACTATGGCTTTTTTTTTAACATGTCCCTGTGCTGGGATGAGTGTTGTACCTGAAACATGTTTTCTTCTTCCCTTTGTGGGGGGAAGATGAAAATGTGAAGGCTTCAAGACGGTGCCATGTTGCCACAGTTGATTACAAGTTTTACATTGAACAGCTCTGGAGAAATCCAAAGCTGTTTTGTTCCCTGAAATCTTCCTTTGAAACTGAAATAGCATTTTTCTCTGCTTGTTCTCCATCATTCTCTCTTTTCTTGCTCTGCCACTGCTGACTGGCAAACAAGCTCTGCCCCTCTCAGGAGGAACTTCGTTCCTGGGGGATTACAAGACTGTGTGGAAATGTGAAAAATTGCAAGTCTCACACGAAAGTACCTGGGATTTTGCTGAATTCCCAAGATGTTTCCATTATTGCTGATTTGCTGTAAGGTCCCACCAAAGCGCTGAAGGTCACCTGCTTCTACTGTCAGTGGATTTTGTACTCTTTAAAAACATAATGCTTCAGTTCTCTCTTCAGGGAAACTGTGCCAGTGATGCTTGCTTACCTCTTGGAGGGGAGGATATGAACAAAATGTATTTGTGCTTGTGAAAACTAAATAGCAGAAGCTGTCGAAGTGTGAACTATGATTATATTTTAAAAGGAGGTTTTAAAGTGTTCGTGTTCTTTCTGTAATGGAATTATTTCTGGAGGACAGTGCTTTATTAGTTTAATTACTGAAAGTTGCTTTCTAGTCACTAAAATCCCATTCTTTTGTATTGCAGTTCTTAAATCCACTTCTTATTCTTGTCTTCATCCCCATTTTTGACCTTGGGCTCTATCCCCTGATAAACATGTGCAAATTTAATTTCACGTAAGTACTTTGGGACAATGCAGATGCCTCAGTGCTTTTTCTTTTGCAGGAAGTGAGCAGAATAGCTTTTAAGGAGGAAAACCACAAATTTCCTTTCACTCTTCCCAGTACCTGCTTCTAATTCAGCCACAAGAGGCAGCATCACCTTCTTCCATACGCCCTGGAAATTCCAGAGGGGAAAATTCAGTGATGTTGGATTCTGCTCTGTACAGATTCTCCCTGAAAGCAGATACGAACAGTCCCTCTTTAAGGGAGTCCCTCCCTCATCATGTTCTTCACTTTACCTCCTACATCATCCCTAAATAGTTTCCTTCCTGAAAGGTCCCTGTGGGGCCAAGTTCACTGTTGTATGTGAGCTACATGTGGTGTTGTGAAAGTAGATTCCCACTAGGATCTGAACCAGTAAGTAGGTAAGGCAATTTCCATATGGCCCAAGCATGTTATCCCTTGTCTATGTAAGCAAGAAGTGCAGTGTAATATGAGCAGATCTCCAGGTTGGTCCTGAAACCCATTTTATGCAGTTTTGCTGATTTTACTTTAGAGTATCTGTAGTCTGTCTACGTGGACTTGATAGCCTTTAGCAATAGAATTATGTTATGTGCACTCATGGATTTACTCTGCCAGTACAGTTTGAGCTCCAGCACCACTTCTCAATGTGAACCACAGCATGGAAAGGGGTAATAAGTAAGAGATGGGCTTATAAAGCATGTTCCTAATCCAAACTAAGATGCTGGATAGACAAAACCAGGAGACAGAATTTGGGTTCCTAATCTGGATTTCCAACAGCACAGTCAATCTGGAATGTGGATTCAGACCTTTGGAGATGGCTGAATCTAAAACTAGACTTGTTTCGAATCTCAACAATTCAATACTCAGTTTGGACGTGCCATTCTGGACCTGTTTTATTCTGCTTTATGTCACTGTCTCATGTAACTTTGGTAAAGTTACACTAGTTTTGCTCCAAGTTCAGAAGCAAGCTCTTTATTCTCTAGAAATGTAAATGTATTGGCAAAAGAAATAACCCAGAATGGTGCCACAGATGGTCAGAAACATTGATGACACAAACTATGCATTTTTCTCCTCCTGCTGCTAAATAGCATGCTACTCTTTTTTTTTGCCTTTCCCAAAAGGGACTTGAAGATACGTAATTTCTAGTGCTCCGTCCAACATCACAGGTTAACATAAATGCCATGAGCTGTTCCCACTAGGAGAGCTAGGAACAAGATAATATAAAACTTGCAAGCAAAGAGCTTTTTTTTAATGGCACACCAGTTTTAATTGGCCTCAGTGCTGGCCCCATACAGAAAAATAGAATAAAGTTAAATGATTGCAATTTTAAACAGCATGTCATCCCTGGTGCCACCTGTTGGACAGATTATTACATGGTTTTGGCATTTTTGGCTCTGAGAAATAGTATTTTATATTTAAAATTACTTAATTTTTTTTGTTAATGGCACATCTTTCATTTGCTCCACAGACCAATTAGGAAAATGGCAACAGGTATGATCCTTGCAGGGATGGCGTTTGGACTTGCAGCTATTGTAGAAGTCAAAATAAATGTAAGTATAGCATAAGGGATTCCTCAAAATACTTTCTTTCCCTGAGATGTCTTTATTGATGCCTGTTAGATAATCCTTTTAACCATTGTGTTCCTTGATCATAATTTTTAATGTGTTCTTTACAATGAAGCATACTGATCCAGTTGCTAATGATAATTTTTACTTTGTCTACTTTTCCCTCTCTTTGTCTGTGTCTCTCTTTTGCTCTTTCTAGTCTTTGCAGTTTTGCTGTGCCGGTCATCTATATTGGTCTATATTCTAGATTTCCATCATCAAAGTGCTTGGCAGACATCTAGTTAATGCTAGTGATTAATTCCCAAAAGGTAGTCTGTTCTCTCTCCTATTTCTTACTGTAGCTTGCCTATACTTTACTGTTTGGGGTTTGTTGTGTGTGTGGTGGTTTTGATTTTTTAATTTAATTACTGGTGGTGTTTTACAAGACAGACTGCTTCTCCTGTGAGGCAGGTGAATGCAGTCACTTCTGTAGTCACAGGCATCAGGGACTGCGAGGCATCCCCAGACAGGATGGCAGTAAATTTCTTGTAGATTCAGTGCTAGCCCCTGCAGATTTGTACTGTTTGTTTCTGGCTCATGGCCAACCTTGTGCAGACTTCGGCTAACCTTTGTCTCACAAAAGTTACTATCAGATTAATTTTTAAAGCTTCCATGTATACTTAAAATGTTCTGTCAGAGTGGCTGGCACACAGCCCTGGACTCTTAACATCTGCTGGTTGCTCAGTGAATCCACTCCCAAGTCTCCTGCTGAATAGAGAGCATGCTGTTAAGGGATGCAGAAGTACCGATTACAGACATGGAGCTGGACTGAGATTTTCAAAACTGCTTAGTTTCTGGCCTAATTCTTTTCCCAGTCACTGACAGCAGTGGAAAATAATTATTTTGGTCACTGCTTTTGAAAGCTAAGCACAATTTTTCCATTCTGATATTGCAGTTGGTTAAATCCAGGCTCTAGGGAGCTGTATAATGAAAGCAGTGACATTGTTCTACCTACCCAGCAGTTGTGTAGCCTGTATGCTTAGTGGTGTGAAGAGCAGTTTTTGGGTGGAATGATAGGTTGGCTACTGAGCTACTACAAGAAAACCTCCCTAAATAAGATTTATGTTCAGCTTTGTCTCAGTGGAACTTTTGATGAGGAAGAGATGGAAAAGTGTCATTACAGAGAGGAAGACTATTATGGCTAAAAATGAAGAGATATTAAAGTGCTAATAAAGCACATAGATGGCACTTAAAGCCTTTTACTTTAATTAGGAAACTGATATGCCTCGACTTGTCTCAGAAGAAAGTTTAATTCGGGTCCTGAATTTGGCAAAGAACCCTGTTCAAGTGACAATCCAAGACAAGGACTTATTTCAGCAGCCTGTGGAGGCTTTTCAGGTAAGCGTATATGTGGGGCTAGAGGGCCTGACTTGTGTCCCATTGAAGAAACGGTGGGCTTTTTTCCAGGCATTTTCTAATAAAGCCCTCAGATACTAGAGCTTGTTCTCCTTCATCACATTAGAAGTGCATGGGAATAACTTTAAAAATGGAGCATATTATCTCCATTGATGAGACAGAAATGGAAAGTCTGAAGACATATTTCTATGGCAAAGAAGGAAATGGCTAACTAGATTCATGAGTAATTTGGAATAAAGGATAATTGTACTGAGATGAGCATGTAGAGACATTCAACTCAAATATTTCAGTGCTCAGACCAGGCATTACTGCTGGGATCGGGATGGCATGTGAAAAGTATTACCTCCAAAGTAGGAAAGAAATGGGAAGGCGTTTAACTGGGCATGGGCACTGAGTTGTTTCCTATTTCAGCTTCAGATTACTTTACAGGTCAAACTAATTTGGGACTCAAGACGGGCAGTCCGTTAGTCACCAGACCATTGGCAATGGAAGGTACCCCAAGCTCTGGCTTGACTAGCTCAAAGCCTATATATAACCATGTCTTTTGCTATAGAAAACAGCCCTGACCTCTCTTTAGAGGGTCCCTTGAAGAGAAAGTAGGGTTGCACTTGGTAGGAAGAGTCAGATCCTTTCTAATCTGAAGAAAGTGTAACCATGTCTGTTTTCTCTACAGAACCCAGCTGAGTACTCAAAATTAGTATTGAATGGAGAGCAACAGAGCCTTCGCTTCACCCTGCAATATCAAGGATTGTCTCTTCCTTTTAACTACACCATGAAGGAAAAATCAGTATACAGCTTAATTGTTTTTGAGGCAGGAGGAAACCTATCAAGCCGCTTAGTGAGTGTGGGAGTGAAGTGTAAATACAGTATTAATTCAGTGACTGTGATGATACAATGGGGTAATAGGCTCATTAATTCATTTGCTCAGTTGCAGTGTCTGTCTGATTGCTCTCAGGTGCTCTAAACCTGACTTCTTAGCTAGCAGCCCTGGATCTGTACACGTTTCTGCTGGTTGATTAATAGAGGCGTTATGGCATCTGAGAGTTTCTGGGCACACTTTAATCCAGTGAATGCTGCAGTGGGAGAGCAACATCATGCCTGCTAGGCAGCAGAGCTTGAGAAAGCTGAGGAAACAGAGCTGGAGATTTTCCCCCAAAGATGGTTCTTTAAAGCAAAGATGTTAAAGAGGCTCTAGGGCTGGGCTGGAATAACAGCATCAGAGGAATGATTCCGGGTTTAGTTATTGCAAGTGTTTAGTGAAAATGCACAGAAGGCCCACTTGTTTTGCTGAGCAGAATAAATGATTAAGCTCATTTCAAGCTCTGCAGCGGAGCTGGCTGTGTTTGGACATTTGTGTATTGCTGCAACAATCAGAGAGGCATATGGAGTGTATAGGGCCAGATTCATGTATCTTTCACCTGTAGCTGTATCCTAAGAGGCTCTCTTGAAATGAATGGTGTTACTGCACGTCACGTGTGGCAGGTGTGTAAATGCTGACAGAATCTATCCTTATGCTAAAATATCAATTCTCTTTGCAGTTTCTCAGCCTTGCCTGGTTGCCACACTAAACATTCAGTATTGCCTGGTAGAAATCATGTAACTGTTTTTCAAAATGAGGAGTTTTAAGGATTTATTTTTTCCTAAAGTGGGGTTGTTGTTTTTTATTTCCTGCTTTATGGCTTAGAGCCTGGGGCTCATTACTGCACAATGTTATTTCCCTGTGACCCTAATGACTGTGTGCTGTTAGCTTGAGAAATGGACACTCATACAGTGACTTTCATGCAGTCCTTAAGAAGTGAAAGTCTGTGACAGTCTGGAGCAAAGCAGTCTCTGAGTTTCAGTGTATCTCTGTGCTGCCCTAGCTATCTAGCCTGTGCTTAAATTAATGCCCACTCTGGAACAGGGAGGCTGCCATGCACTGGGGAACAGCTGTGCTGTTGGGTGATGCAATTGACCTGTCATTCTCAGCTGCAGATAAAGGAAGTGTGGAAGACAGTGTGGTAAATGATACTTGCTTTTCCAGCATTGCAATGCAACAAAGGCGATGCTAGAGCCACTGCTGTGTTGCAGGGCTTGCCCTTGGGTAGCCATGGCCCATGACGTCCTTCCTCACTGCTGGGTTTGGCCTCCTCACTCAGATGGGGGTGCTTTCCTGGAAGGAGCCAGTCTGAAATTGTTTTCTTCTCCTTTATGGGCTATTTAGCAGGCAGGAAATGAATTTGAGAGCTCTGGGGATCATCGAGTAATAATTTGGCTGGCCTCTCTGCAACAAACTAGAGTTTTAATCCCCATGTGTCTTCCATAGAAGAAAATGATGATGTTGTTTATTATTTATTGCTTTGACATTTATTTTTCACTGTGACTATTTGTTATTTAGGGCATAAATTATCTGTGGGTCAGCGTATCGCACTGAAGCACAACAGACATTTTATAGGTACACTGGAATTCTGGATCCTTGGTCTCAGAAGCCCATGGTTTAACATCACGAATAATGTGTAAAGAGAGGGCTGGAAAATTTTGAGAGAAAGTCAGTTTCTGAAGGTAGATGCAGTCCCTTTTGGCTTGCCTGGGTTCCATCTGTTGGCAGCAAAACCTGAAATTGCCCTGCCAGCTTAAGGGGCACGGCACAGCTGTGGATTTCTACCAACCAAGAACCTTGCTCTGTATTCTTTTTGTGTGACCATACAATCTTCATGGCAGGGCTGTCTTTGCTGTCTTTTTTTCAGCACTGTACCCCAAATAGGCTCTCCTCAAATGAGTGTAGATCATGTTAATTATTGAGCTGTGATCTCCAGGAGAGGCACTCTCAGTCCCCAGTGTGCCCAACCAGGTGGCCATTTCAGGGGTGTGTCTGCAGAGACTGTGAGTGCAATCAAGCTCAGTGCATCTTGGTTTCTCCTGCTCTCTGCCTGCACCATACAACAGTTTAATGTCCTGAGTATTGAGGGTCAGGGAAAATGAGTGATACATGATGATCAGAACAGTAACCTAATGGTTCCTCTTGGCTCTAGGCTTCTGTGAAGTCTGTAAGTATGCCAAGAATCAAGGTCTGAAAGTTAGGCAGTTGCAGGTTTTGCAGGAATAAAGTACTCATGCTTAATTGTAACTAATCACTGAAAGAAGCTCATGTGGATAATGATCTCTTGCTATCTTCAGATCAAGGGAAATATCATTTTGGAGGGTGTTACATGCCTCTCAGTAGAAGGGGTGACTGGCTGAAACTCTGTAGCCTTTGTTATGCAGGAGATGAAGAAAAAAAATCTCATCTTAAGCACTTGGTGGAGCTGAAATTTTGCTGTCAGCTTCATGGTACCAGGACTTTTGTGGCCTGATGTAAAGCTTATGTGAGAGCCCAGTCAATTTCCATGGGTTTTGCAACACATGTGTAACTCCATAGACACTAGTATTTTCTGCTGCACATTGTTACAAGGCAGCAGTAATAAATTTGTTTGATTTTCTTTCTTTCCTTCTTTAGATTACAGATTTGGAAGCAAAGCCAGAAAATGGTTTGGCAGCTGTTAGGTAGGAATGGCTTTTTTTTGAGGATTTGGAGGTGGTGGGATGAGGGGAAACTGCTTTTGACTAATGCAGACTGTATGTAACATAACCCAGATATTCTCAGGTTGGAATCTAGTCCACTCTTCTCATGCAAGACTCAGGTGTCAGCTGTGGAGGCTTGACAGCGTGTCACCTCCCACAGTTGCCGTACAGAGCTGAGCTTTATTGCTGCTTACTAGGCATTACTGCCTAGGATACTCTGAGCTGAGATGGCAACAGAGAAGATCTCCCTTGGAAGAGTGGTAACACATCTCGCTGTGTTCCACCATTTGGGAAAGAAAGAGAAGCAGCAATCTGGAAAGGAACCATTGCCATTTGTTCTCTGCAAACTGGCTAACTTATGACGTTCACTTATGTCACCCCACCTCACGCACAAATGCCTACTAAATTTGAAACAGCAACAATTTTATATCCTCAGAAACAATTCAGCTGCACATTAGGGTCTGCTTAAGCAGCTAGTTTACTTTCCTAATTTGAACTACTCCATGAACAGGCCTGTGCTGTCATCTCACTGAAGTCACACTTAACCACCAGACGTATGTGAGGTGCTGAGATGCATAAGCTGCCTTATCCTAAAACCTGTGTTGATAGAGCATGAGAGCAGTATCTCTTCATAGCCCTGTGCTTGCGAAGGCTTCTACTGGCTAAGCACCACCTTTGAGAACCGATTAATGACTGCAAGTGGGAATGTTTTATATTTTCCTGTGAACACTTTTGACAAAATATCAAAACATTCCCTTGAACAATTTGTGAAGAACTTTCGCTAAGAAGAAACTATTTTTCCACTAGCAAGGTCCTTTTGTTAAGCTTGACTATCTTCAGGGATTTCAGCCCCATTTTAAGAACTGAAAACCAAGAGAACGTTCCCGTGAAAGTTTTGGTTTTGGTGCAAATACCTTATTTTGCTACAGAACTCTTTCCCCTTTTTAGAAATAGAAACTCCTTGAAAAATACACCAGCACGGTGTGCACACTCATCAGGACACACAAGTTTATAATTTTCTGGTGTAGGTTGGGGCTCTGTCCTCTCAAACAGCCACAGAACAATTGTCATAGAATTAGGTTGGAAGGGACCTCAAAGATCATCTAGTTCCAAACCCCCTGCCATGGGCAGGGACACCTTCTACTAGATTAGATTGCTCAAAGCCCTGTCTAACCTTGCTTTGAACACTTGCAAAACCTGTGCCATTGTCTCACCACCTTCACAGTAAAGAACTTCTTCCTAATCTAAATCTACCCTCTTTCAGTTTAAGGCTATTCCCCCTTGTTCTGTCACTACATGCCCTTTGTAAAAAGTCCCTCTCCAGCTTTCTGTAGGCCCTCTTTAGGCACTGGAAGCTGCTGTAAGATCTCCCTGGAGCCTTCTCTTCTCTAGGCTGAACAAACCCAACTTTCTCAGCCTGTCTCCATAGGAGAGGTGCTCCAGCCCGCTGGGCATCTTGGCCTCCCCTAGACACACTTCAATCTTTGAAGGTCTCTGAGAAGAGATTGCCTGGAAGTCCTAACCCAAAAGAAGTGAGGGTCACTTTTCACAGGAGAGAGTAAGAGGGTAAAATTACACAGCAGAGAAAATTAATCTTATATTGAAAACTGGGCAATGAATCAGACATATTTTGGTAACTCGCAGGAGAAGCTGTCATAACCTTATGGAATTACAGAATGCTTTGGGAGAGAGAGTACGCTTCTGAAGTGTCTGATACTGTGCTTCTTCTGCCCTGTCTGACAGCTCAATGAAATATGCTTTCTTTGCAGATTCATTAATGGTTTGAACCAAGATGTCAACCTCACCATTGACAGCAAATGGTTCATTGCTGTTCAGAGAAACTACAGTGCTTCTGAGTACTCGCTGCTAGAGAGGGACAAGTAAGTTTCCTTTGCTGAGCTGAAGGTCCTTCCTGAGGCCCTTCTGTGGATACAGTGGGGCTTTTTTAGGTGAATAGCAAAACTTTCATTGCTATTTTCTTGGCATTTACCCGCAGGGGCAGATGTTTGTAAAAAAAACAGAATTATCAGTTCTGTGCAGCTCCAGGCAACTTCTGTGGGTGCAGAAGCTTGTTTCTTATGTTTTGTGGGGGCTGGAGGGAAGAGGCTGGCCATTCCTGTGCATTTGTCAGCAGAATAAGGTGGACAGAGTAAAGTCCCCTCTGTCATTTGACGCCTCCTCTATTTTGGTGTTCTCACAGGCCCAACTGTTAGGGTATTCTCAGGGAAAGGCCAATTCATATTCCACACTACAAAGTCTTGGTATGTGGGCTGATAACATCAAGTAACATTACATGGCTTTGCAGGCTGGGCTTGTTAGACAGGGGCTCCATATGGTCTTGATTTGGCAGCATTGGAGTTGGCTCTTGCAGGGTATTTCTGGTGTTTGCAATGTTTCAAAACAAGCTTCATGGCTTTTCTTTGCATCAGTTCCATCCAAAATATTTATTGCTGCAATTTAGTAGGATGAAGCAGCCATTGTGGCAATGTTGCTGAGCCTCTGTGCCATCTTGCACATCCAAAACCAGAAGAACAAATCTGAAGGCTAATTTGCTCTATTGAAAGGAAGCAAAGTGGCTTGTGGATGTGTATCTCTGATTTCCTGAAGGCTGCTTGAGCCTGGCTAACCTGTCTGGCCCACAGCTCTTGAAGGAATGGAGAAGTTTGGAAGGAAAACAAACCTGAGGAGCAAAAAAATCAGTGCCAGGAAGCAGCAGAAACCATTTAAAACTGTTAGCAATAGCCGCAAGTCACTAGGTGAACTCCACTTAGTGCCTAAGTGTTTCTGGAAGGAAAAATGACAAGAATTCTAGTGATTGTCTGACATAAACATTACTGCAGCTTTGCATCTTATATCCTCCCTGCTCCATTGTATGGGCATATTTGATGCTCTTTGTCAGTGGGACTAACTGGGAAATACTGTACTTCATCCTTCTATTTAGATATAATAATGGAAAATGCATAACTGAAATGGGAGAGTTTCCCCTGGAGCTAGGGCTGCTTGACTTCGGCGCGTCATACACCATTGTGATAACTAACGTAAGTGTCCCTGTAATGGTAACAAGCTGCTTTTATTCTTATGCTGGTGACTCTCACTTGCTTTCTCTACCCTGCAAGACCTGGGCAGTAGCTATCTGAAGGCAGTCCACTCTACAAGGGCTAGTGAATGTTTTCAGTGCCTACATAAGCAAGGCAGATGGGTACTCATTCCACCTTACACTGTGATCTTGTCAGATCTCATGGGCTAATGAGAAGTAAGATCTCTTCCTTGATAGAGATCCTTCATGGAAAATCATGTGATCTGTGGTTTGTTCTGGTCTCATGCCGTCCATCCTTATTCAGTTAGCATTGATGTAGCACACTGCAAAGAGCTATGACAGTCTACTAAGAGATGACTCTGCTTGTGGTCTTTAGAACACTGTACCTGGCAGTAACTCACACCTGAGAAACTTTGCAGAAACAGTCTGAAATATCCTCACATTTACTGATCTAAATGTGGACCTTCTGAGACTTGTGGATTACACATGGGGGGAAGAGGGATAAAGTGTTGAAGGAAGAGGTTGGTGAGATGGTGCCTCTGTTTTTCCTCCTCTTCCTGTCTGTACAGCTCATTTGAAGCCTAGTGTAAAGTCAAGGCATGGTTTTCTGAACAACCTAGCCCTAATGGGCCATGAGCACTTCTGTGGGGGTGGATTCCTTTCCAAGCTTGCCAACCTCTTAGGCTTGCTGCTCCAACCCTGTTCCAGCTGGCAGGAACCACAGAGATGAACGTGATCAGCTTAATTCCCATTTTAACCTTTCCACTGCATGCTCACACAGACAAACCAGGTCTGACAGGACACACTGCTAAGCTGCCCTCTGAGACTTTGGGTACTGTGTTGTGATGAGCAGAGCAAACTGCTGTCAGCTACTCCCTGGCAGTAACATCTCCCTATTGGGCAATTAATGGGAGCTGTTCATGTCTGCAAAGTCCAAATACGAAGGGGGGGAAATAGAGCTGCAAGGCACCTGGCATTTTTTTTTTTAACTTCAGTAGCTGGAGTAGAATGCACAGTCCTGGAGGGAACAGGCAGATGCTGCCATCTGTGAGTGCAGAGATTTATGTACATAAACCACATACTTGAACTGATGTTGGCCAGACCCTTCCTCCATGGCTGCAAGCCTCTTTCACCAGATGAGAAACTAAGAAGAGAAGTTGCATTAAGAATATTACACTAATAATATTACCCTAAAGCCTCTGATAAATGCAACTGAGTCAGGGTCAGTTGAGGTAAATGTGTCGCACATCACTGTTGGCAAGAATTTCAGTTTGTGGACCCATCTACAAAAAGTCCCTGTTGTAGCCGTGGCTGCTCTGGGGTGGCTCTGTGCCGTAGTCCTTCTGGACCCTGTGGTAGTCCTTTAATCTTTTTGACCCTCTGTTTTTCCATCTCTCTGCCTGTGGTTTCTTCCTTTTGTAGAGAGTTAGTTTGCTCCAGGCCAAGATATTTTTTTAATTATTGCAGTGGTTTGTACTGAGCCCCGCTCCTCTGCCAGGAGTGCTATATAGAAAAACTGGGAATGCAATATATTACTCTGCTAATGTGGCTGACTGTGACGCTTAAATCACAGAGACGCTGCCTTCTAGCCAGCCTTCCTCAGTGTGCAGTTATAGTACGGTGCTTGTGACATTTCTTTATGGGCTAAAGAGCAATGCACAGCTCTCCTCACAGCTCTTTTAGCCTGCTAAAAAACAGTATCTTGATTTGCCTTCCTGCATTGTGATTAAGTGCATCTAGTAAATATCCACTGTATTTTCCCAAGTACTCTCCTTAAGTGTGGGTTTTTTTGCTTGAAGCCATTTCAGCCTAGTGTTTTCTTGGCTACTAGTCAGATCTCTCTCTGCTTCTGAGCCTCTGTGCATCAGAGGCAATATTAATTACATCTGGGAAAGCAAATAAAAATGATTAGGAATACAGCTACCATAACTAATTGAATACATCTGGTACAGGGCAGTCTCTGCTACTCTTGGTGTCCCTGAACTGGATTTCTTTGGGTGTCACTGTTATCATATTGGAGTTGTACATTGCTAATGAAATGGGAACAATGACCACATGGTTGCAATGAGTGTTTATCCTTTTGTCCTCTTCTAGCCTTGGGGACAGCAGTGGGCCACAGGCTCGGCACAAGTTTCACACAGACTTCTCTCAACCCCACTACAGAAGACAACTTGTTGGTTTGCAATAGCTTAGGCAACTCTTGAATGTGTGGGAATGCTTCCATCCTGCCACCTATGCAGTAGGAATCATCCCATTCATGACAGGCTTGAAAATGGCAGGTGTCAGACCCATAGTTTTGCTTCTAGGGCAGAGATTTGCTTCCGTCTTTGCTTAAAATTTTGTTTTGGTAAATTTGCCGTTTCTGTCCAGGCTAAGAAGGATCTGATCTTTCAGCAGCTAATCAGTGTGCCTTTATTTTCATGCTAGGTTTCTGGAGGTGCTGTTAAGACATGGAAGTCAGAAGACATAAAGGCCAACAATGTCCATATGGCTTGGCAGTTACCACAATACTTATTAATATCTGCTGGGGAGGTGATGTTCTCCATTACAGGTCTGGCCTTCTCCTATTCTCAGGTACACCACTTGAAGATAAAGTGCTTACAATTAGACTTCAGGATTTATTCCTGCATCTGCTGTTGACTTGTAATATGTCCTTTGGCATGCCACTGACTCACTTAAGCAAAAAGTGGGTTTGTAACACAGCTTGCTGGGTGCCCTCAAACTAAATTAATTCCAACCCCTATTCTATGGTACTCTGAAGGATACTTCTTCTCAGTTATACTCAGGACACTCCTTTTCTAGTGAAGCTGAGAACACAGAAAAGAGCTGGATAGAAGTTTATTTTAATGTGAAAGGTCTAAATAGTGTAATATCAGGTTTTTCTCCCAGTGAAATATTTTGTAGTATGTATTTTCCAGTGATAAAAAGTCAAAGGTATCTCAAGGACTATAGGGTGGCACTGGGCTTTGGAATCTGCTTTAAATGGAGAGAGCGAAAGGGTCTAAGCCTACACGAGTCTAAAAAAGAGAGCAGGGGTTAGCAAGTGTGCAAGGGATGATTTGATTGCTGTCTAGGAAGAAGGTTTATGAGGAGAGGATGGAGGCATTACAAGATCGAAAAGCTGAAGCTACTCAAATTTATCCCTGGAGTAAATTGCAGATATTCATTAATAGTGGGACAATTTGTAATGGGATGTAGAAACTTTGTCATCGCAGGAAGTTCAACATCAAGATCCAGTTCCAAAGGTGTACAGCCACATGGCATCAGACTACAAACTGCAGGTGGTGTTGTGTGGTTCCCTGGACTTTTCGATTGTACGATTTCAGATGATGCAGATTGGGGATGATGAGGATCCAGCTCTGCAAAAGCAGCATCTCCTCTTTCTTCACGTGTCCTCCTGGAGGACATGTTTTGAGAGTTTCTTGTATGAAGCTCTTGAGATTAACCACTCTGCACAGAGAAAATTTCCCCTATCTCATAGACTGAGCGCAGTGACACCCACACTGGGCAGGACATCACAAAGTGAACCAGGGCAGAAGGGCACAGTGTGATACCCACTGATCAGACCCTTCTCTTTTCAGTCTCCGGCCAGCATGAAGTCGGTGCTGCAGGCAGGCTGGCTGCTCACGGTGGCTGTTGGGAATACCTTTGTGCTCGTTGTTGCCCAAGCTGCACCAATGGCACAGGTATGGTTTGGCTCTCAGAACAGAGGTAATGCTTTTAAACAGGCTGCTGGATGTCCACATCCTGGAGGTACAGCTTTCCTGCACAGCTCCAGGCTCCTGCAGTTGAGTAATGGCAGACTGCACTGAGGTCTCCCAGCCAGGGCCCTGTGTTGCCCTCAGCAGAGTTACCCTCTGGAGCCGTGGCCCTCCCTAAGTCTCCCAGTGGCAGTAAATAATAGTGACCTGCACTGCTGCAATAACGTTGATGGAGCTCCGCTCTAGGCAGGCAGGCTGCCTGTGGGCCTGAAGCCAGCCACAGATTTCAGTTGCTTACCAAAAGCAGCTTGCCTTCATCCAGGTAGCCCAGTGGGCTGTCAGCCTCCTCAAGTGTCTAGCTTGGTATCCCTCAGGGCCAGCTGCCTATGGCACCCTAGAGATGATGAGCTCGCATGGGGAGATTGTGGTGTGGAGGTTGTTAAATTGCGCCTATCAGACTTTTGAGATGGTGCCATGAAGGTGTGAACTTGGGCTTGTTTCTGGATAACATGAAACTGCCTCTTCCAAAGGAATCTTGTGGGCAAAAAGCCCAGACAGGTATGTTGCCGTCAGGATGGATTTCTAAGAAAAGATTTAATGAAACTAGCCCAATCAAACAGGTTTATTTCAAGGTATATCACATATTCGTAATTAAATTATGTGTACATGGGTTTACCAGAAAACAGGATGAGAAAATTTCTATCTTGTAAACACTTTTGGAAACTAAAAAGTAATTTTCAGCCAGCTCTTTAAAAGGCACTTGTAGGTGCAGAGATGTCCTCTGGACTGAGAGTCTGGGGTCTCCTGACCTGCTGTTCTTTTTTCTTTCCTAGTGGGCTGAATTTGTCTTGTTCACTGTTCTCCTCTTTGCTGTGTGCATTATTTTCTCCATCATGGGATATTTCTATGTCAGTGTGGATCCAGAGGACCTAGAAGAAAAGGAAGAGAAGAGAGAGTCCCCAAGCAGAGGAAACATGATTAGTCTTGTTACTCAAAAAACAAAGCTCTAACACATGATGGGTTGGGATTTTTTTTTTAATCAGAAGATGGGAGGGTAAAAGAAGGGTGGGGAAAATGTTCTTTTATTTTATAGCATTGTAGTCTTTATTACTCAAAATGTAGCCATCTTCTAAATGGGACAAAATAGCCCTTTATAAAAACAGTGGGGGTGCTAAAATCAGAGCAAAACTCCCTGGGAAAGCTCCTCTGGTATTAAAAGCCCTCAAGTAAATACAGTGTAATTTAAAACCTGTCTATTTTTTTTAAGTATAGGATGCTTTCCTATGATTTGGTTTTAAACATATACTTAGGGCAGCAGGGAGGAAGGGTGGAAGGAATGCCATACGACAGCAAATTTGGAGATGCTGAGAGAAAAGAATGAAAACTCATTACAGGAACTGGGGAAGAATAGACGTTACTGACAGGAGAACTTTTAATGCTGTCACCGAGGACTGGAAGTGTTACAGTCCCAAAGGCTTTTATCATGTAACTCTCCTTACGAGTATTTCACCCCATTATTGCATATTATGAATGGTCCTGATTTATGACTTTCACCTCCAGGCTCAGAAGTAATAACAGGGAATTAAATTCTGCAGGCTAAAATATTCCCCAAACGCTACTGAAGAAGATGTGTATGCCACCATCTCTCCGATACTGACTTTTTTTTTCCTAGGAAGTTTAGCAACTGGTGGTTTCTTTGAATATATGTGATTAGAGAATTGGTTTACACTTTGTTATTTCAGAAATCCAGGCAGTTACTTGCCATCTTCCTATATATTCTTTATTGAGCATTTCCTTTTACAGCACTTGCCACTGCAAGTTAGGATAAGGCTGATTTCTTATCTCATCCTTCAGTTATTCCCTACCGAGAGACACATTGTGGCAGTGTCTATAAAATTCCAGACATCCTGCAGAGAGTTAAACAAGGATGCATTTTATCATCTTTTCAGTCTACAAGAGAAGACCATAGGAGATTTTTCTTTTTCCGCCCTGTTTTTGTGTCTCTCTACTAAACTTTGGATATAGTTATTTTATCAGAAGTGTGATATAACTGTCTGATTTTCCTGGGTTGTGTGAATCTGTGATTTCACATTCTGCATAGAAGTAATTCAACCATTGCTGATCTAGTAAAACTCCCGAGGCAGTCTCTGCCTTCGTCTGTCCTCCAAGGCTGCAGTTGTAACAGGTATGTCCTAATTTACAAGAAGTTGTCAATAGGATCTTCAGGTTCACAGAGAATAGATACTAAATGATGCCTTCCTTTTCTATCTTGGCATTGGCCATAATTGTTTGCTGATGCTTTGATTCAGGAGATTACAAAATACATGTTAATTTAACTCGTGTTCAGGACAGTGCTAGGGAATACACTTAGTTTGACACCTCTGCTACTTTAATGTGCTGCTTTGTGTATGTGTGTCTTCTCCGGCGAGACTGAGAAAACCCCACTTTTTGGTTTATAACTGGAAGACTCACAGCCTAAGATTGTTTCCTTTGCTTCCTGTCATGAAGTTCCACCACTAGTTCTGCATAAACTCCTGCCTGCTGTGAAACAGCGTCTGAGTCTTGTGCCAGAGGGGGACCATGGTCTCAGATAAATGACACCAGGCTGCAGTTCTGCACACAGAAACACTTAATGATGTTCAGTCAATGCAAAGCCATTTATTAAGCTGTGGTGGCTGGATCCAGGCAGCTGAACCCTGTGACTCAGCAGGGAATGAAGGGCATTGAAAAACATCTACTGGGTCATCCAACCTGCTCCTCAGAAGCCAAGTGAGGATTATTCCCTCTACTCCTTTCTGGTATTGTTCTCCTGCCATGATTCTTTGTGTAGGTTCTTTCTCCTCCAGACATTGTTGTTTTCCTAATCCTGCTTTATGATACACTGAGAATCAGCTCAGAGGCTGCTGAATCATTCTACTATGATGCTATTTGACCAACTTCCAATTCGGAGCACTAATAGAAAAGATTTCTTTCTCCCCCCTGCAAACAAAACAAAAATCCCCAAACTGAAGGAATGGACAGGCTCCAGTAGCACTGAACAAACAGAATTTAGAATTATTGGAGCATTTAATTTTTTATAAGCCTTGAATTCAGAAGTGCGTTGGGGTTCAAGGGCGTATGTGGTGAAGAGACAATTGAGAATTATTGGAGCACTTTACTTGGAAAGCACTTGATAAGCAGCTCATAGTGGCATGAGGGAAAGCAATGTGTCCAGTTCTTTACATATGCTCAAGAACCTTTTGATTTTGTTTTATTTCCTTATTGGCGGCACTACCAGAAGCTGTCATACACTCTGAGCTTAATTTAAAGGAATCATTCCAAACTCATAAAAAATACATTTAGGATGTCATCTGTAGCTTTTTAAACTCCTAGTGCCAAATTTCCCCTTTCCAAACATCTCCATGTTCCAAACCATCACCATAATGCTGGGGGTGGGGAGGGAAGGGGAGGAGAGGAGAAAAATTGCAATTCACAGTTGGGAAGGTTATGAACAGGAAAGCAATGCTATAAATGAAGTGCTAACATGAGGCTAGGGGCTGATTACATTTCTCTTCCAGCTGACACCTCTACTTCTTCCCACCTGCTCATCATCACCTGTTGGAATCTTTGTCCTCCTCCCATCTGCCTGCTTGGTTGCTGATATGATCCTTCCCCACCGTTTCAGCTGCAGTTGTAAAGCTTTTGCTAATTGGACCATTTATTTGAAATGCACCAGCAGTTTGGAGGGATTTCCACTGAGTGGGCTGACAACCAGCCAGGAGCAGGCTGGGGCCTGTAATTAAGAGCTGCCCCTGCTGTAGCTGGAGAAGGTGGCAAAATAGCACACTCAGCATAGCATTTCTCCAATGTTAGAGCAACAACTCTGTCCTCGGAGCCGTTTCATCACTTTCAAATGGACTCAAGACTGGATCAAAGATTTAGGATGTGATTCTGCGGAGTATTGAAGTCTCTGGGTTTTTCTTCCATACAGTCAGCCTAGAGATGGGACCATCCAATTTTAGAATGATATTCCTTATTCCTCCCAATTCCTTGATCTAGGATCAGAGGGAGAATCCAAAATAGTGATATGTAAAGCTATATGAACATCTGTAGAGAAGCAGCAGCCTCCTGCCTGTCCAGCTTTGCCTGTCACTGCAGGGAGTCTCAGCTGTTGGTGGAGTCTGCCCTGGAGCAGATTAGGGAAAGCTCACACCAGCTGTTTTGGAGGCTGATGTACAAAAATTATCATCTCCAGCTAAGGGACTGTAATGAGCTGATGGGGATCTTTGGGTAGGTTGCTGCACAAGCCTTCACGGAGATTGCAGGAGTTTGGCTTCACTGTAGAAGTATGTGTATTCATTTGTTTTTCCTAACAATGATCTCTGATAAAGAATTTTTTGTGCAGCGAATTTCCCTGCAGTTGCACTGGCTGTTACTCAACATGTTTTTCCCCTTAGTAGGTTGCAAGTGTGGCCAGTGTTATTTCCAGCTTTGCATGAGACAAGCATAAAAAGTGAGCTTTCAAACTCACCAAAAACTTGACTGTGGGGTCCTTAAATTTACCTGTTCTCTCTGAGGCAGTCAAACACCTTTATGTAGTAAGCTGCTCATTGCAGCTCAAGGAGTTTGCATCTCTCTTTTCTTTCCTCTTCCTTTCTCCACAATTCCAGAAGATGATTTTTGGAAGATTCCAGAAGATGAGCCACGGGAAGTGTGCATGGGATGGGCTTGGATGCAGCTGGTGCATGCTGTGTTAGCTCCAGCTGGAAGACAGGAGCCTGGCCAGGAGCAGGAGCTAGTTCCTCCCTGGAGATCCAAGTGGGGCTGGGCAAGGTAGCCTGGGGCAGGGCTTGCCCTGGTGGAGGATGTGGTTTTCCTGAGCAGTGATCTGGATGTGAAAGGAGCAAGTGAAAGGAAAAGTTTTCACTGGCCTTGGCTTTGGCCTGAGGTGCTGTGCAAGGAGGCTGCAGACTGACAAGCAGGGAGGAAAGAAATGGCTATTTGGTCTAGGTCTTCCAGACTCCTCAGTGAACAACTGAAATTCCTTACATCAAATTAATTGCAGAGAAAATTATATGGGAGAAGTGGAACGCTCAGGTGATTAAATAGTGGATGACTTCAGACCTTTCTGAAAGTGCTCTCCTAACTGGTGGTGAAGGGCCATCATGGGAGTTAGCTACCCATGGTTTGAAAACTGGTTTGTAGTTCTGGAGCGCAGCAAAACCTGCATACAGACCTGTGTCCTTGGGTCTGCAGTGACTGGAGGAGGAGGCAACTGTGCTCCCAGTGATGCCACCACCAGCCGTGACAGCCACCACCTTGGCTTCCCCTTGGTACTGAAAAACACAGCTGAAGGTGTATTACAAATGGAAGTAGCACAGGGGGGAGGGCTACAGTTAAGGGTGGTTAATGGGCAGTTTTAGCCAGGGTCATACACAGAAGAATAATTACCTCTTCTACGTCCTCTGTGTGTTGAATTTCTCTGCTTCACTACAAGAAACACTTTCTAGCACCAGCAGCTTAAAGAGAGTTCAGCTCCATCACAGATACCACAGCTGCTGAATTTTGGACGGTACCAGACTCTGCATTTCATTATCGCTACATTTGTTATTGTGCTATAATTCTAAAACAGCACTTAAGAGATGTTTCTGGCCCCAGATGTTGACAGATCTGGCCATGTTTTTGCATATTGATAGCCAGATTTACACTAGCCTGTCATGTTAACACATGCGATAAACCTGTCATGTACAAGTAGATGTTGTGGACCCTGTGGATTTCCTCAGCAATTTAGAAGGAAACCAAAATCCCTAGTGAAGCTGGCTAAGCATGAAGGTGTTGCTTCCTTGTTGGAGATACCACAGGCTTTGTAAAACAAGGACCCTCATTCAGCTCTTGCAAAGTGGTTCCCAGAAAGACAAAAAGAGGGGGACACTCTTAAACATGTTGCCTTGAGAAGGGCTTGTGCTTCACTGCAGAAACTGCCCAAAGGAAAATAATTGCTTTGCTTAAAATCCATCTTCCTTCCTTGCCATGTCAGGTGGTCAACAAGGAATGAAACAAGTTGTTTCTTTGTGAGCATTAAATCAAGGAGCTGCAGCGTCCTTTGAAGGTCTTCCCATAATGTGTTTTACTAGCAGGTCAACATTAACTTGCCTCTACTACCTGTAGATCAGAAGAGTGCCAGGATGCAGAGCAGACACACTCCAGGCTCCCACGGCTGGCTGATCAACTCTCTTCATTTTTAATGAAGTTTTTAGCATATATACTGCAGAGCTCAGAATTGGTCTAAATTTAGGCCAAAACGAAGGGCCTGTGAGCTGTAATCAACAAGATAAATGGAAAAACTTCCCCTCAGAACTGCTAAAGCACTGGTTTATGGCTTAATTAAAGTTTTAATATGCTTACAGAAACTAAAAACCTAACCCAGAGTGTAACAATTCAGTTGGAGCAAGGAGGAGCTGTAGTTGGAATCCAGCAGCGTGGCAACTGGCAGGCAAGCTGAAGGCACAAAAATCAAGCAAACATCACGTTTTAGATTACTTTTTGTCATTGCATATGTTGTTCAGTCTGCTTGGCCTGTCCTGTTCCAGCTACCTGTGTGTGTAAGGAAAAGAAGCTGAACTGACTTGTGGAAGACATGTACCCTTCCCAAACTGCAGCTTGGTTTTCCTCTTGTTGCAGTCTCTCAGGTTAGCTCCAGATGACTCCCTTTGCTAGCAGTCAGCCCCCTCAGTCCCACATGCTGATCTTCCCTGCCCAGAAGTCACTCAGACTTCTCCCTCATGACTTTGCCAGCTATCAGCGCCTTGCTTATTCCTTCCTCCTCTCATGCAGCCTCTCTGCTGCCAGGAACAGCATGCCTTCTTAGGGAATGTCCTGGGTAATGCTGCCCACTTTACCATGTCTGGGCAGAAATCAGGCAGAGCCAATATCTGGGTGGCAGTAGGGCATCTGCCCTGGCTTGTTTTGGCCCTGGCTCCTTCTCACAGCCTTGTGTGACCCAATGCATCTTAGAATCATAGAATAGTTAGGGTTGGAAAGGACCTTAAGATCATCAAGTTCCACCCCCCCTGCCATGGGCAGGGACACCTCACACTAAACCATATCATCCAAGGCTCTGTCCAACCCAGCCTTAACACCAACAGGGATGGAGCATTCACAACTTCCTTGGGCAACCCATTCCAGTGCCTCACCACCCTAACAGTAAAGAACTTCTTCCTTATATCCAATCTAAACTTCCCCTGTTTAAGTTTTAACCTGTTACCCCTTGTCCTGTCACTACAGTCCCTAATGAAGAGTCCCTCCCCAGCATCTCTATAGGCCCCCTTCTTCTGCAGGCAAATAGCTTTAGAATTATTGGGGTAGTCCAGTATCTCTGTGTGTCCTTCCTATCTATCCTGTGCCCAGTTAGCTTCCCACAGGCAGCCCTTGTGTTGTGCCCTGTCAAGCTGCAGGGACTTCTGGCCCCAAACACTGCTGTTACCAGCCATGGGGGTCCATTTCTGCTGCCTGTGGACCCAGGTTGTTTTAGTTGGCCTTTGTTCATACATTATTTAAGGTCAGGCTGCTCATTCCAGCCTCCCACTTGTGCTGGAGGCTCTGGAGCCCTCCGCCATCAGTTAGTTTGTGAGTCTTGTAGAGTAGTAGGAGAAAGCCACTCGGCTTGTGTTCATCACAGCACTAGTGTGTGCTCAGTGGGCTGCATCTGCAACAGATCTCCCATCAGTGAGGACACTGCATCTGGTGAAGTGGGGTTGGCTCCTCTGCTAGCAGTGCTGGAGCAGTGATTGCTGGTGTCAGTGGGGCTGGCTCTGTGGCCTTCCCAGGTTTGACTGGCATGTTTTAAAAGCTGGTGTTGGTGTTTTGCTGGGAGACCCCTGTTATTACTGTGGTGCTGGCAGGCGTCAGCTACTGAAACTGTTGGGTGAGGAGCAGCAGGCTGTGTGCCTGGGCAGTTGACACAGATACCCACGCTTGTGCTGCTCACCTGCAGTGAGGCACTTTCTCCTCCTTCTTCATCTACTTGCCCAACACAGCAACCAGGTCTCGGGTAACTGGCATGTCCCAGACCTCGCTGTGTTATGTGCCCACCCACAAGAGGAGTTTTCTTTGAGTGAAAATGAATTTGGTTGCTTTGAGGTCTGGCTCTACTCAAATCTGTTTGGAGCCTTTATTTGTTTAATCTGTGTATCAAAACACTCCAAGTAGGCCTTCATGCTGTCCCTACCAAAGACAGAAGCCTCTCAGAGGTGCTGTGCCAATTTGGATATTTCCTGCCCAAGTCAGAGCTGATACAGGCCAGCAGGAATTCAGCAGACCCCAGGAGATGCTGCCTTTCAAAAAGGTGAGCTGCTGTCAGTCATGGTGGCTCCCCACAATGTGAGGCCATGCAGTCCAGATCCTGCTGTGTCGTGAGCTCAGCAGAGGCCAGTGGATGCTCAGATGCCTCTCTGGGGGCTGCAGTTCCCATGTCCCATCACTGGCCAGCCCACCTGCGTGCCATTCATGGTCTGTCAGCACCAGCTTTGCTTCCTGACACTTTATATAGAATTCGATATGCTTTTAACCAGCAGTCCCTTTGTGGGGATTAGCCAGCCTGGGTAATGTTTGCATTTCACCCTTTGCTGTGTGCTGGCTGTGGCTCTGATTTTGAAGCCAATGTTACTGTTTTCCTTTCCTTCTCCCCCCCCTTCCCCAAGGTTGTCCTGAGCGCTTGCACTCTCTGTATAAAATAGCCAAAGGGCCTTGCCTGTTTGAAGACAGATGGTCCATCCATCTTCTGCAGAACCTGTGATAGTGCCATGACGAATCCCTCTGTGGTAATGGTGCTGGTATAGTCCTTTAAATTTCTATTGGAGGACTTCTTTGATCCTTCTATGCAGCATCCTTTTGTTATGTTGCTTAAAACCAAAGGGGTTGCTCTTCATTTCTCACAGCCCACAGCACTCCTCAAGCTTCCTTAATGCAGACTCTGAGTTCCCTCTTCTGTTTGAGCTGAAAACTATTAAAAGCCATTGGGTGCTTCAGAATCAGTTGGTTTTTTTGCCTAGGAAAGGTTTGGGGGGTTTCTTTGCAGATTTTTAAGCGTGTACACATCCGTCACTTACCGTGGAGTGAAACACTGCTCCACTCTTCTTTCTGAAGAAGGTTGGGCTTCTAGCTTTTCCATAAGAATCTGATCTTCAGTGTGTTTAATCCTAATGCTGTTCATCGTTCAGCGTCCCTTAAAGACTGGGATTTGGGCTCCTTCCTTCGGGTTTCTGCTCACATCTGCTCAGAGTTTCTTAGCTGGTGTCAGTGTATTGTTATCTCCTGGGGCCAACTGACCTACTGGGCTGACAAGGAACAGAATACAGCCCAGTGGTTTTAAAAGATGCACCTTGGCTGAACTTGCTCAACTCTGAAAGTTTTGAGCCCCTTTTCAGCTTGTTAGAGGAAGAGAAGGCACTTTTCCTCATAAAGGTGTCCTTCCCATTATCAATGCTGTGCTTGGAGTCAAGTGCCCTTCATGCCACAGATCTGCAAGCTAAGTAAATGTAGCAAATCATTAAGACAGACTTTGGCCACTCCTGTCTCCATCAAAGACTGGGATTAAATTAGGCCCCTTTGATAAACTGATCTGATGGGCTGATGTGGATCGCACATGTGGGTATTAGGAGCCTTGCGGGGCTTACGATTAAAAGACGTAAGAGAATGCATTTATTTAGAGAGGTTCTGTAACTCACTAGTCACTTCTTTACCAGAACAAAAGAGCCCAATTCTGCAGGGTGGCAGGCAGCTTCTGGGAAGTGCCTGTGTGCCTCTAATTGCCCAGGGAGGTGAGAATCATATTTGTCTCCTGCAGGTTTTGATGTCTGTGATAACACTGGGCAGGGGTCAAATGTCACTCGGGACCATTTCCATCCCCCAGGCATTTGTGAAACCTTTCACACAGGTGGCTCCTTTATCTCTTTCTACAGTTGCTTGGGTTTTGTTTTCCCCATAAACTACAGCTCTCTTTGTAGCAAGATAATGCTCAGCTGGGTTTCTTTGCTGGACTCTAATCAAATCCTGACTTGCACAGGGAGCTCAGTGCAATCTAGGCTGACTGCCTACATCAAATTCTCAAGCCTGGGGCTGGATCCTGATGCAGTAGGAAAAGCTCTGTTAGCTTAGGCCCTGCATCAAGCCCTGAAGATGAGAAATGTCTGACTGCACACGAACACAATTTTGCTTGTTATTTTTCTCTCAGGTTACTGAGTCAGAGCTGAATGGTGTATGTAATTCTAGTAAGGCTATTCTTCTCTCTCTTTTTTTTTTTTCACTTTTCCCAAGGAACATTCATGCTGCATTTTAATTACAACATTTAGAAAACATCCAAATAGCTTGAGCTCAAATTGATCTTGTTTTTCAGCCAGGAAACTTGTTTTTAATCTATTATAATAATAAATGTGCTATAGATAATAGTTCAGGTGCAATACAGCAAAGCTTTGTGTTATGCATCAGTTCTGGAGGGCCAGAATTTTCTTATTATCCGTTATTGGTATGACAGTTTGCAAATATTTAACAAACAAATTACCAGGTTTTTCTTGTTCCCTTCTTAGTTTACAATCTCAGTCTTTTTGACAGCTGTATTTGGGATTAATAATGATCTTGTTTAAGATGATTGTTTGCTAGCAAACAAGTTTATTCTCTAAACCTACAAAGTGCAGTAGAACTATCACTGACACTTTGAATTACATCCGATCCTTGAGGCTAATGTTTTAGATTTATTCCCTCCAATTCTTATAAGCAGAGATCAGAGTGCTTAGACCTGTTATTATTTTCTTAGTTTATGAAGTCATCTTAAACATAGACACTTAATATGATGAGCTGGTAAAAGCAGATGTTTTTCTCTCCCAACCCGGAGCTTGCTGGGTATGTTCAGTTTGTAAGTGCTTTAAAAGACAGGTCCTTCCTGAGCACAAGCATGGGAGTGAGGAGACCACCTGGAGCCTTCATAGAAAAGAGATACCCAGAAGAACCTGATGGATTTGGTCCTTGGTAAAGCACCGGGGGCAGCACTGGGAAACGTTCAGCACCAGGAGCTGGTAAAACATCCGTGGTCTGCAGCAGCTTCCTCTCTGCCTGATCCAGGTCTGAGCAGAGGGTGAAGGGTATAGAAAGGGCTGAAGTACCAGTGTCTGCCTGGGAAGGTTGTTTTTTGCGTAGACGGCTTCAGTTGAAGCAAGGAGGGTGCTACACCTGATGGGAAATCCTGACGCAACCCTCAGGGAGATCTGGGGCATCTTCTTGGAGAAAAAAAAACATTAGAACATGGAACTCGAAAGAAGCATGAAGCACCCCTTTGGAACATGTGCTGGGCACTTGGCCATTTCTGCCCTGTGGTTTCTGACCATGGGCTTTGTGTACACAATACAGGAATTCACTAGTGTGCGAGCTAGGCTTTGGAGATGAGGAATGAATTTGTTCTCAAGTAAAATTATCTTTTGTTAGCAGAAAAATCTGTGAGTTGGGTTCCCCAAGGGAATATTGTTTGAAATCACAGATGATTAAAAGATAACACATTTGAGAGTGTTTTGTTTGGTTGGTTGTTTTTGTGGAGGTTGTTTGTTTGTTTGTTTGCTTTTGGGTTTGGGAAGCTGGATGCTGCACGTCAGTTTCTCCACAAGTGGCCTAGCCACAGATTTTGTATTTTAATGCAAGAAAATCTGAGACTCTCCTTAAAAGCACCCCCCCCCTTCCCCCCAGGAGTTCTGAAATACCAAATGTCACACCAGCAAAAATGACTAACGTTGGCAACTCTGAGTGGAGTGTATCACATTGGTCTTAAGCAAAAATAAGCCAAATCAAACAAGACTTGGTGGAACAGAACAAAAGCAGGCAAGCACCACAGCTTGGCTTGAAATAATGTGTCAATAAAGAATGTTTCTTCACTACTTTTTATTTGATAAGCAGTAAAACCATAGACTCATGCTGAATACAGTTTGTATGTGCCCTCTGCTAATTGCCCATCCCCATTTGTAATGTAAGCACTCATTACTCACTTCCCTTGGAACTAGGGGTGGCCAGCATGGAGCAGCAGGGAGAGGGCACAGCTGTGTATTTCAGCCTGTCTGCACATCTGTTTTCAATCCTGGAGTAATCCCCATTATATGGACATCTTAGCCTGGTATTTAAGGCTTCATCTCGCTTCTTTTTGAGGCTTGCTTAATGCTTTTCCAGCTGATTGATGCAGCATCAATCACGGTAATATTCCAGCTATGATATTCCTGTTAATAACTACTGAAGAGCCAGGTGGCTCAGACCCCTGAGCTGAGCACAGGCATTTTCTCTGTGAATGAATGCTGGGGGAATTTGCTGACCGCAGCAACATCCAGGAAGAAGCTGCTGGTCATCTGGTGCCCAGGTATCTCCCAGCTTTTGAAGTGGTTCCATTTGCAGCTCCATGCTCCATCTTCTGCTGATGGGGGTTAATGTTTGAGAAAAAATGAATATGCAACTTTGTGAAGTGCAGCTACCAGCTGGACACAACAAGGGTAAACTGGCTCCAATTACCTGCTTTGCTTACACCAGCTGCTGTGTCTTACAAATCAAACCAGCCACAAGGAACCAAACTATTAAGCTGCTTTCTCATAATCATTAACGATGAAGTTGCCATCACTCCTGTTTGTAATCTATGAACTGTCCTGTGATAACTGATTATTTTGGTTTTAGTTCAATGAATTGTGATGGTGAAGCTGCAAACAATGTTGGCAAGCAACTCCCACAGGGACCCACTCCTGCAGGTCTGAACTGGTGAATCCTCCTTTTTGTGACACAAAGTACAGTGACCTCATGGGTACAGGTTTATGTTCCCCTCCCATCCTCCTGGCCACCCTGCCCAGCCTCTGGGAAAAGCCCAACCCAAAAGTGTTCTGTTTTGGTGGTCTGGCAGGAGAAGGGCAGGCAAGTATTTAATACACTGACAGTCAATGTAAGGAGAAGCTTTCAGGCAAGAGGGTGTCTCCCCAAAGGCTTTCCCTGTCATATTGAACACCCCAAAACTTTGCTGAGATCTGTCAGTCTGGGTATTAATTTCCCCTCTCCTGCTTTCCCATCTCTAGTGTGTTTATTCTCAGTGTGACATCGTAGTGAGAGGAGCTTTCATGCCTTCCAATGGCAAAGGCAGCAGGTATGGAGCAAACCCCCTATCTCTTCAAGCCTCCTTCAATTCATCTCTGCCCTTTTGTGTTGCTGGGAAGGGCATAGAAATGGGTCAGAAGAGAAAAAGGACTCCAAAGGCCAATGGCATCCTGGCTTTTATCAGAAATAGCGTGGCCAGCAGCACTAGGGAAGCTACTGCCCCACTGTACTCAGCACTGGTGAGGCTGCATCTTGAATACTGCATTCAGTTCTGGGCCCTTCACTGCAAGAGAGACATTGAGGTGCTGGAGGGGGTCCAGAAAAGAGCAACAGAGCTGGTGAAGGGTCTGGAGCACAAGTCTGATGAGGAACGGCTGTGGGAACTGGGGTTGTTTAGTCTGGAGAGAAGGTGCCTCAGGAGGGACCTTGTTGCTCTCTACAGCTACCTGAAAGGAGGATGGAGAGAGGAGGTGGCTGATCTCTTTCCGAGGTAACAGTGATAGGATGAGAGGTAACAGCTTCACAAGGGGAGGTTTAGATTGGATATTAAGAAAACTTTCCTCACAGAGAAGGTGATCATGCATTGGAACAGGCTGCACAGGGCAGTGGTGGAGTCACCGTCCCTGGAAGTGTTCAGAAACTGTGTGGATGAGGCCCTCGCTGTCATGGTTTAGTGGTGGTCTTGGGAGTGCTGGGATAATGGTTGGACTTGGTGATCTTAAAGGTCTTTTCCAACCTAGCTGATTCTATGATTCTGTGGAAGTTGCTCATCCCACCACGGTCACTTGCTGCCCAGGTTCTCCATGGTCTGCAGACTGAGTTACCAATGGGACTTGCTACCAGAGCATCTGGGACATTCTTGCACCATTTTCTCCTGTAACTGCTTTCTGGACAGATGTCTCCCAGCTGGTCTGCCTCCTCAGATGAGCCCATGCATGTGACTGGATTACTGATAGATGCTCCACAGCCATCTGGATGTATGGAAGAAATGACAAATCTCCCCCCACCAACCACACCTTCCATGAGATATTGATGAATGAGATCTTTATTGGCTGCTGGGCTAATTAAATAGAAGTTGCATCAGCTTCTAGCTGACAGGCTCTAATTGCTCCTGAGCAGATTTTGAGAGGACCAGATGAATAGGAAAATAAAAGGGAAGACTGTGGACTAGATCCAAGGATGTATCTGACTGCCTTGCGTTTCAGATGAGCTGGAAGTTTGTCTCACATTTCCCTGGGGAACAGGAATGGACAGGAATAAGGTTCCTGTGCTGTGAAAGTGCACAGGGAGGTGCTGTCAGAAAAGCCAAAATGAATGTAGGTAATGAAAAGGAGGTTTATTTAAGAATTTCTGAGGTCTTATCTTTGCCCCAGTCTCTAGCTTTGGCTTTGGGCAGCTGGCACCCATTGCTCTGTGTTCAGTTTCCTGCCTGTCATGCAGGACTAGCAATGCCTGCTGCCAAGGGCTCAGCTCTGCGATGCTCTGGCACCACATGGATCCCTGAGCCTGATTTTTTTCCTCCTGTTGCTTGAAGTCCAAAGACTGCAAAAAGGGTGTCAGGCATGCAGCAGAGCCCCCCAGCCCAGCCCTGTGCAGCTCTGCTGAGGGCTCAGGAGAAAGATCCTCCTCTCCAGGAACAAGGTCATGGAACTTTGAGCTTGGCTCTTTGTGGAGCACAGTCCTTTGAAGACAAGAGGTGCCGAGTGTGTGCCATGCTGTGTGGTAGCTGACAGCAAGGAGTGCAAAGCCCTCTCAGCTTCTTGCTGCCATTGCCCCATGCAGGAGCAGAGCTGGAGTCCAAGTTACTTCTCTCCTCCAGGCTCTTACCTAAACCTCCCAGTGGAGAGTGTGGATGGTTCAGCAGGAGTCAGTAAAGCAGATGTTGCTGGCTGTGCAAGTTTTGGGCTGGTCCAGGACAGAGCTAGACGTGGTACACAGTAGATTCTGGCATTGAAAGAAATAACTGAAATTAATGGCCAAGCCCTCAGTGACTTCAGTGGTGTCATGTTTTCCCCAGTGGACTCTGCAGGCTTTATCTGGGCACATCCACCCTAAGAGGCTTGTCCCATGTTTAATTTATAGGGTGATGAATGAGTTCTTAGCATACAATGCATTTAATTCCATTTTGGCCTGATTTATGATGTGATGTGAACTGCATGTGAAGTTTTTAATTCAGTAGGTGGTGACTCTGATTCAGTATATGGAGTGTGATGGAAGACGTGATAAATTTGATTCCAAAGGTGATGCATCAATTTCAGCGTGAAGTGCATCAAATTTATCACATGGCACATTGGTTTCAGTGCATGACACCCCAATGATGGCAGTGCCAGGCTGGTTAAGCGGGATACCTTCACTGCATCACCACTGGTCCCCATGTCCACCACCTCCCCTGAGGAAAATGGCCCTTTCTGATTGTCTTTTATTTGACCTTGCAGGACTTGAAGGAAAACAATAAAATGTCTCATAATGTGCTGGTCAAAATATTTGTCTTCAATTTAATACATGCCCCAGATAAGGGCTTCTTGATATCCCACCTGATTTCAGATGTTAGAAAGATGATGCTGCTCCTCGAAATCTCTGCACCAACCAGCAAATTGGCCTCATTTTGGCTTTATTTCATGATTCAGTATCTTTGCTTTTAACTCAGTGTCTGTCTGATCCACATCACTGAATGAGGATGTGGAGTTTGAGCCCTCTCTGGGGGACAGAGAGTTTAACACTGGGCTCTCTCATATCTGTAACCTTTGAAGGATATTTAAATAGAAAACATCCAAAAAATGGAGAGGACAACTCCCCTTATTCTACACTGGGGATGCTTTGGGGATAAGACTTCCTGGCTGAAATAAACCCATACCACGATTAGGAGATCCTAATGGCATTCAAGCAGCCATTTGAACTCATGGGAGTTAGTGCATGAAGCAGGACAGCATGGGGCATGCTGGGCACCAAGGGGGCTCCCAGTACCTGTAGTACACAACCGCTTTCCCATCCTCATGCCCCATTAACACCAGTGCCACTGAATCCAGTCCCCGCATGACAGAGCGTGGCGAGTCACTAACAGCTGAGAAAGACGAGAGAGAGCTGATGAAGGGATTTGGTGACAAGCTGAGTGGGAAGTAATTACTTTTCTCCTTCTCTCCTCCTTTCACTGCCACAGCCTCTGCAGCAGCAAGGATAAATGCAGTATATTAGCAGCAGTGAGTGGCAGATTCACTGAGCTGCAATTTATAACACTCTCCTCCCAAAAGCCTCATTGGAGGGCATTATGAAGTTAGCTTTGTAAGAGGGGATAAAACGACGATAGGGTCACTCTGGAAAAGCATTTGGAAACTCTCAGAAAAGGAGCTATTTTCTTCTCTCCACGCCAGGTACGTCTCATTGAGCTGGTTCCAGTGGAGCTCTGAGGGAGGGTTAGTGCTCATACACCAGATATTAAATTACATCTAGTGAGAAGGAGCAGATGTTGATGTGCCAGGCCTGTCTGCCACCACGTCTAATGCATAAGGATGGCTGAAAAATCTCCCATCAAAATATTTTGATTTTTCTTGAGGAAAAAATAAACTTCTACTAGAAAAAAATAAAAAATGAACCCCCGAGGCAGAAAACTTATGGCTCAGAAAACTTTGTTTTCAGACTGTTGATAAAGGGCTGCTGCTGTCAGAGAGGATAAAGAGGAGGATTTTTTCATCAGCCGTGTTAATCTGATCTATCCCTGCATGCAGGCTTTTGTGGGCAGATAAAATAAAACAGATCCTGATATGCTGATGAGCCAAACGCTATCACAGTTTCCAGTGAGGGACTCTGGGCTATCAGGATGGAGAGGCAGGGGAGGGCTTTGCTTATAATATACCCCACTGAAAGGTGTCAAGCACCAGGAAAGGCACTGGGCTAATGTGTTTCTGGTCTGCCTTAGAGAGAGCTGTTAACAGGCTTGGTCCTTGCTCTGGGCTCCAAAAACCTCTGCAACACACAGGTCATGGTGCTCCAGCTGTTCACACCCCAGTTCCCACAGGAACAGCAAGCTTCGACCCCAATCCTGCACTCTCCAAAAGGGTTAAAAAAACCTACATAGGCATGCTTTAGATAGTTTAAAAAGCATAAGGACAGGGAAATGCTAAAATCCATCCTTTTCAGGAGCAAAATTTCTCATGAATCTAAACTTCTATTTCAGCACCACCTTGAGGTTCATGACGAGGGTAAGAGCCATTGGGGTTGGGAAGTTGCTGTGCTCCTCCACCCCCCAGACACCCCACTGAGGGGGTGTTTGGGGGGTGGAGGAGTGTGCCACACTCTTACCCCAGCCAGGGGTGCCAGGGGCACTTAGGGATGCTGCCACCGCTGCCCCTAAGATGAATCTCAGTGTCTGAGCCTGCCAGGAGCAAGGACCAGAAGGCAGGCAGTGAGGAGCATCCCAGCCAAAAGACATGGATTGTGCTCTCACATCCTGGCTGTGGGGCAGCTCACCAAGCCCTCAGCACAGACCCTCCCGTGGCACCATGCAGCTTCCCAGCTGCACAACATCTCTCAATTGTGGAGAGAAGCATTTCTTTCTTCGTTTATTTGTTTGGCATTGGAAACGAGACTGCTGGTTTATAATGTTAAACCACCATCCTAGCTGAAAGCGGTAGGTCCTGTAAATCAATAAATCAGCCTCTCCAGAGCATTACTGCTCGTCAGGAACCAGCAGTTCTTCTGGGGGCACTCTGGAGCCAGTCTCAGGTCTCAGCTGGGGCAGGGACTGTCTTTCTTTTCTCTCTTTTATCCTGTTCCTTGAGTGGCAGGTTTTTATTGACACGCAAATGCACAAAAAGCCCATTTCTGTCCGTGATCAAAAGGATGCGGTTGAGCTGATGTTTTTCCAAGCTGCTTAAGGGTGAGCCCTTATTTTTAATCCAAACTACATTTTTTAATTTCTACTGTCTAAAACGAAGGTTTTGTGCCTTGGGATCCACACTGGGCACCCACATGGCCTCTTAATGTGGTGGACCCTATTGATGGGAATTCCTGTACTCTCCTGCCCCACAGGACCCCTCACACCTCTAATGATCAGATCCTGTGCTGTTGGATTTCCTGGTGATGTTTGATTTGCCCCATTGTGTCTCAGTTTTCCCACACTGCTCTGCTTTTAATTTTTTTACATGGAGAAGAGGAAAAGGCAACCTGAGGCCTCTGGGTGAAATTCATCCTCTGCAAACAGAGCGGAATGCACGCTCAGCTGGACACGGACCTGTCCTGGCTTTCGGTTTATTTTCTGTGCAGACAGGGCCAAACTTAGTTTCATCTGTAAAATTTCCCATTCACAGCAGAGAATGTTTCAGCTAACTGATAAACCACGATGACGAGTTTTCTATGAACTGTAGGACCTGGGAGGCTTGAAGAGTGTATTTGGGTATGTCTCTCCCTATGGCATGGGGCATTTGGGAATGACTGGGGTCCAGGCTGTACCCCTGCTTTAAAGGGATTGAAGTTATAAAATGTGGGCAGTTCCTTGTTTGTTTTGAGTCAGTTCTCTCCACCAGCATCTGGCTTGGCACATTTTTAACACAGAGCTTCAGTCTGCAAACAGAATTGAAATTTTCAGACTTTCAGTGCTAGCTTCGCAACTGGGGATCAATGGAGCAGAATAATATCTGCCCACTAATAAAATTAATAGCCCTGAGCCTGCCATGAATTACTTTAAAATGGGGATTGTAGGATAGTAATGTAAACAATCATTGATTTTTCTTGGGAGAGTACTGTAAATTAGATATGACTCTCTTCAGTGTGTAGCTGATACCAGACAATGCAGAAGATGTATCTGATTACTCGGAGGTGGGTAGGGAGGGATAAAGTGAAGAGGGCCCCTGTGACAGGGGGGACGCGATTAGATCAATTAAATGAGCCTGATCAGAAGATGAAAGCTCAGAGCTGCATGGCGCTCAATATTGCTGCCATCCAAGCTGACCCAATTAATAACATATTAGTGCAGGACAGGTCTGCTCAATGGTTCAGGTCTGTTAATTGAAACAGTGTGATTAATGGCGTTGAAGGAGATGAGGAATACTTAGAAAAATGATGTGAGTCTGCAACTCCGCACCGCTGCCAGAGCACCTCGTAGGGGCAAGGGAGGTAGGGGGTGGCCTTGCTCTTCACAAAACCCAGCTTTCGTGTTTCAGCAGCCTGTGGCCAGGCTTCAGCTCTGCTTTTCTCCTCCCTGGAGATCCCATCAGCACCCCAGCAGTGAGCTCGGTGCCCACACTGAAGTCAGAGAGGTGGCAGCTGCAAGGGCCAAATCCATCCTCAGCCTTTCCCATGGGCACAGGGGGACTGCTTGCATTCGGCATCAGCACCGATGCCCATGGGCTTTCCGTGCTGGGGTCTTGGCTGCTGGGGTGCGGGCAGTGGGCTCAGGGCAGATGCGGAGCCACTGCTCTCGTGGGTGCTGCTACCCATTGCTGCAGTGCAAAGGGACATTGGGGCCCCTGCAGCAGTGCGGCTCCTTTCCCCCTAGCTCACACACACCCGGCATCTGCGTTTCTCCCTCTGGAGGCCAATTTTCCTGTTGGTTCCAATTAACCCCAGCGCTGATGTCTCAAGGACAGCTCTGGAGGTGGCTTTGAAAAAGAGCAGAGATTCAGAATCCTGTCGTGGGGCTGCAGTGGCACCTTGGAGCCCAGCCTTAATTGCAGCAAATAGCCCAAAAGAGCTGTATAGTGATTTGAGCCACTGCCATCTGCAGAGTTACTTGGCTGCAAGATTATCTTCAGCCCCCTCTTTGCCTTACCTCAGAGCCTCTGCTTGAACGCAGGGCTCAGTGCAGGGGCAGGTGTGTGCGATGCACACGCTGGGTGTTTTCCTTGGAAAAACAAGTCTTCCCTTTCTTCTCCCTGTTAAATATGCACCCTGCTGCTGGTGAGAGAGGGAGTGTGCTGGGAAGGGGGGCAGTAGGCTTCGCTTCCAGGGAGTCAGGGCAAGCAAGCGTCTCATCCCAAATCATTGCCTCCCGGCTGCAGAGAATGAAGCATTGTTGCTTTAAGATCTGCTCTACCCTGGTCCTTTCTGGCATTCCTGGCATGGAAGCTGAGGGTGAGCTCCTTCCTGTGCCTTGGAGCCAGCTGTGCGCCCATGCCTCCCTCCCAGCACAGTGCCTGCCTATGTGACCCTGGGAATTCACACTTGGTTTGAAAAGCCCAAATCCACAAGTTTTTGGAGGATGGTGTGGCAAATGAGCATGGTCCAGGGGCCTTTGCTGCTGGCAGAGGCTGCATGAGCCATAGCAGCTGTTTTCAGATTGTCAGAGGCAAGACGACTGATACAAAAGCAGCAGCAACAGCAGAGAGAAGTGGGTTCAGAAGAACGAGTCAAAGCATGGCTTTTGTGGGGAATAATAAATGAATAGAAGGACCCACAGCACCACAGTGAACTGAACTACTCCTTAAATCTTTTGTTTTCATTTTGGGTGATAAAGGAAAATCATTAGGGCTCAATTAGTCATGAAAGACAGGGGTCCTTCTGCATTGCAGCAGCTTGAGAAAGCAACTCCTGCTCAAGAGCACATCTTCCCCATCCAGAGTAGGATCATTAAATATCAAACATTTTGTTTGTGCTATTTGCATTGCCTATTGCGCCCTTGCGCGGGACGAAAAGTCTGTGGCAATAACTGATGTCTGTAGTTTTAAAGGCGCTGGGCTCTGCCTCACAGAGCTTAAAACGCAGAGAGAAATGAAGGAGAAGCTCTGAACAGCAGAGGCTGCCCGTGCTGCTCCAGTGGCGCAGCGGGATGAAAGGGAAAAGAAGAAGGGGAAGGAGTAACAGGGGGAAGTCACAGATGAGAGCAGGTGCCCCTGGCAGAGGGAGATGAAGGTCTTGGGCACGTTGTCTTTCCCTTGGGGGTGAAGAGGAGGGAACGGCGGATGGCATCTGCTGCCAGACCCGTAATCAGACACAGCTGTGCTGCGGGTCCCAGCATGTCACTGGGATGAACTGGTGTCTCCTCCCTGCCATGCTGGGGGAAAACCGTGCTGTAGCAGACTGTGCACGTGTACCTGAGGCCTTTAAACATTCATAAAGCAGTAACTGATGTTGACATGATGGGTGAGAGAGGCTGAACCAAGAAGGTTCCTGAAGCCATTTGCACGCTGGCCCTGCCGCAAGCCCTTGCTAGGTGACTGGCGGGACCCTTGGCAGTGGCAGTATGGGGCTGTGCTTTGTGCTGAGCAGACAGGACACCCCAAGAGGAAATAAATAGTCCTTTAAAAAATCCCCCCTAACAGAACAACCTCCCCAGCTCCTCTCTCCCCCCAAACATGGCCGCACTACACGCAGGGTGATTTGTTTTCGTCACCGTGGGAAATGTAAAGCACAGCAGCTCTGCATTACCTACTGCTTTTATTCCACTTACCTCTCCCTTCATTTCTTTGCCAAGACTGCAAATAAAAGAGCAGATGTGTGGCATCTGTGCTGCTGTCACCTTGCTCAAAGGCAGCGGGGCAGAGTCCACCGGGAGCAGCTGAGGTGCCTCGAGCCCCAGCATGGTCCCACACAGAGGAGCTGTTGCCGAAGCGATGAGTGCCCAGGCCTTTGCCATATTTTGGTACGTGGGAGCCTGTGTGATGGGGCACAACGAGTATCTCCAAGCAGTCACCTCAGGACAGGTCACAGGGTGGGGATGGGCTCTGGCACAGGGTTTTGGCAGAAGCAGGTTGGGCATGGGATGGGGTTAGGTACT